GCTACCGTGTTTGCCCACAAAATATAGTCAATTCACTTTACTGTATATTCTGTGAGGCACTTTGAGACGTCTCAATGACATGATAAGGCGTTATATCAAATGCAAGGATTATTATTATTGTTAGGACTGTGAACTCACTGACAGTCATTGCAGTGCTGGGGATGTGCATTGGTAGAGATATTGTCATTCACTAGCACTACACTTTGTAGTGAATCCTATGAAGTTCTTTGAAATGTCCTCCTGATGTTATACTAACTGCAAGGATGATTATTAGATTTATTTCTAGTAATGCCAAAAATAATCAATTTCCACACCTCTCTGCTCCTGCCTCATGGTTCCTGGTTAGCGCATTACAGTTTGCATGAAATCCACAGATAATGGGGAAAATTGACATCTGATCAAATGATAAATAGACATTTTATCGCCCCCATCTTTAAATTATATTTGTCCATCAGATGGATGTTAAAGACGCCAAGACGCTACTGAAATGAAACCCTTTCTCTCCTGGTTGTGCACAACAATCTTGGAGGTGAATTGGTTATTCACTTCAGGGCTATTTGTAGGATTTTTCTGGCACAGAATGCCTACCTCACCTGTCTAGAAAACAGTCACTACATTCAATAGTAACTACTATAAAGTTTCTCAAAGCAATTCCATGTGATAATTCTATAAAATTGCAATCATTTTCCTTCTAAAAGGAATCATTTTCCTTCCTTTTCTTTCCCCACATTTATTGATGGGAACCTTTTCAATGTGTGACAACGTTTACCATTTTATGTTACAATATCCATTGCTCTATATAATATTATTATGTATTGCTCTATATTTATCTGCGAGCCCTGCTCAACTGCCACTGCTTTTTGGCAATCCACTCAATTAAATCACCACGTAATTAAAGTCACCAAGAAGAGACACTTCCTTGCAAAGACATCAAAAGTAGTTACAGTAAGTAGTAGAACAACATGCGCAGTCCCAGGTGCTGACCGTAATGTAAAAGGCTGCCCTCCAGTGCTTTAACCAGAAAGTGCCAGTGAAAATAGGTGATCTATTTTGATCTATATTGATAGCCTGCTAAAAGCTATGAAGAAGAACAGACACTGCTAAACTGTTAATCAACTGCAACAAGATAACTGAGTAACTATAATTTGCTTAAGAGTTACCTACTCGAGCGTGCTTTCGGTCAGTTTCTCCCCCATCATCCTGCCTCATCTTGTGCTCCGCATCAGATGTGAAGTGCCTTGAGACGTCCTCCCGATGCGAAAGGCGCAATATAAATGTAACATTTCATCTGTCACAGTTTCTCTTGTAGTCGGGAGTCTGCGGCACTTATTACTATCAGAAATTTATAACAAGTAAACCTCGACAGAGGGCAGTGTATACACACTTAAACTAACCATGATTATGATTATTTACAAGATATTGTTCAACGATTGTGTTCGTGTTCTGGAAGAGTCAAATGGGCCAAAGGGCTTTCTCCAATCCTCACCTTTCTTGTGATCTTGCTTCAAATATTGAAGTAAATGAATGAATCATAAAGTTTCTCATTTCAGCATGGGACAACAGATCGATGTTATAATTAAATATCTAATTTTGCTATCTGATATTGTGATGCCCTGGTGATGTGGACAGACCTGCAGCTTACGGAAATTATGGAAACAATTGGTACTGAAATCATATGCACATTGTTTATTTCGCCCGACACCGGCTCCTGCTCGTTCCTCGCACCCTCCTCACCACCATCGGAGGTCACACTTCCAGCCACTCCACCCTGAAACTCTAGAACATTCTCCTTCAATCCCTCCGCCTCTCTCCCGCTCTCCTTTTTCAAGTCCCGCCTGAGAACCTTTTCGACCGTGTTTACAGCCACCTCCCCCCCCCCCCCCCCCGCTCGGAGTCAGGCTCCGCCACTGGTTAAGCTCTGAGACACTGCCCTGAGTAGAGGGCGCTATATAAGTGCAAGTTGTTGTTGTATTTCACGTGAAAGAAACATAGATTATGCAGGAAATTTGCGGTTTGTATCACATACCATTCATTTCCTATTTTGACTTATCTGGTTAGAATCGATGCTGTTTCCTGAGAGAAAAAGGTGATAGGAATCTTCGTCTCAGTTAAAGCATTTCTGAACATACAACCGTCAATGAATGGGGACAAATTGCACCCGGGGCTAGATTTACCCTATTTGTGGGGCATTTCAGAGTCTAAAATTTGGAAAATTGTTGAATTTGGTGTTAAAATAACTGAAACAAAAAAAGTTTTAAATTAAGGCTGTATTTAAAAATTTGCCGGACTGTGTCTGGACTCTCGGAAACGCTACATACATACAGAAAATCTAGACCCACGTGGGTTTTCTCCTCAGACACATTTTAAAGTTGCAACATACAAATTGTAAAGTTTTATACTCCCCACTCATCCAATACATTAATGTCCCTCATTTTCAGATTTATCAATACTATTATGTTAATTATCCAATGCTAATGGCGTTGCCAAGTTTGCAGAACGATAAATGGATCCCATCTGCTAAACAAACAGGTCTTAGCCAAGGCACTTATCAGTTCTGGAATCACTTTATCCAAGTAAATTAGGCAGCCCTGACGTGCAGCTTTTTTGCTTACATTCCTGTTGCGGTTAAAGTTGCACAAAACAAATAAAAATTCTACAAATGCGTTGCTACCGCGTTGATGTTGGGAGGATTCAGTGTCAATGCGGCAGTCAGTAAGTGGATGATGGAAACAATTGTGAATAAATGTGCAAGATTTTATTTTATGTTTTTGGAGGGTTTTCCTTTAGGAGACACATCCTATATACACTGATGAAGGTCCCCTGGAGAACTTTGAGAAAAGTGTGTGAGAAACATCAAACCTTTTGATGACTTTCTTTCCTGTTACCGTATTGATGTTCTTCAATGTCATGTGACGATCGGTGCACTTACAATTCTTGCCTATATACATAGTGTAGAAAGCGTGAGTATGTGTCAGAGACAGCCCATTTATTCTTGAAGTATCTGCCCCTAATATTTTATACGGGGACAGCACAGCAACGTAGAATTACAGGGGATGGAGTGGAGTCAAAATGGTGTGACTCAAAACAGCACTGAAATGTTGGGATTGTCGTGGTTCAAAAGGACCTCCAGCCTTCTCAGGGAATACTGTGAGCATTTTTGCACAAGTAATTGAACAAAGTTCACCCACATCCCAGCAACATTACATTGGTAACCAAAAGATCTCCAGGATCTCCCATGATGTGAAAATTATCTCTGGTTATAATGATCACGGGTGGAAATTTAATCACTAAACACATTTTCAACCCAGAATTTTCCTCGATAAGCATCATCTCACTGTATGGAGGCCTTCTGTGCTATTATTCAGCAGATTACTAAGGAATATTGTTTGTAGTACAATGGTCATGTACTTACACTGACGACAGCTGTACGACTCCATGAACAAAATGGATTGTGCTGTTCTGGTTAAAACTTTGAAAACATTGCTCCCTAAATAGCACGCAATGTGATTTTCATGGTGCACGGATAAATAAAGTATCCCATGGATCTTAGTTTGTTCACCGACCCATACACTTAACCAAAGATCTTGGACTGATGATTGGATTTAATCCAACAATGACAGATGGACACTATTTTTCATGATAAAATCTGCATCATGCATTGCTGTAGATGGATAGTGCACTGAAGCATCCAGCGAAGTCTAAACATTCCAGAGTAATGAAGGTTATGCTTAAATTATCTCAAGTTGCCAAATTCACATTAGTCACTAAAACATTTGCGCGAGATTGCAATTCTGCAAAGCAATCTGTAATCCTGGGGCATTCTTTCTTTGCGACCAGTCATACATTATGGGTTCTCTAATGGCAGTACTGTTTGATATGTTATCTGGAAAGGTATTCCTCATAATATAAATGGGCAATTTCATCAAAAGAAATGTCATTTGTTTCCTAACACATGGAAAAAAGACTTTCTTTGGGACACAACTGCTCCTAACCAAAAACATTTATCAAACATTTTTTAAATAGTGTCTTTCTCTCTCTGTCCAATTGTCTTCCCTCCGCAAACTATTTGATTTGTTTTCCCTTCTGCTGGGGCCATAATTCAATGTATCATCTTCCTACTCCAGCACAGTCATTCATGTTTAAGGTGCAACTATATGTGTTAGCATCAAAATCGATAAGGATCGGGCATCAAAATTAATAATAATAAACCTTGCATTTGATATAATGGATTGAGCAAACAAATTATTATTATTATTTTATTAATTTTTTTGAACGACACAAACCTCATAAAGAAAGCCATCTGAACCTTTGGATTAATTTATGGTCTTGTAACTCCCTCCCTATTTTATTATTCTACAATAAAACTTGCATACGTTGTGTCAATCGGGACCATAACATTTAATGACCTACGCAAAGTAGGAGTTACAGGTAAACTTGCACAAGTCAGATTTTATACGACTAATACACAAAAGTAAACAAGTACCTCACTTTCTGTGCTGCTTCAACGGAGTACACTGCGCATGCGGTGATGGACCAAGACTTCATTTCCCGTGATCCGATGCACCCGCTAAATCCGGTAGTATCGTTATGAGTGAGATGATTTGCATAGGATTTAAGATTATTTGGGACCAAGAAACTGTTACAATTTAGCCATTTATCTATTTATAAAATATGACTAGTGCAAAGAAATCTAAGTGTTTTTTGGTAGGAAACTGAATGGGATTCAGGTGCTTGTATGATTTAGGCAATCATAGTATTTATAAAGATAAGATTTAAGCGTTTTACTGTATAAGGTACAATCAACTATAAATTAATACTGTAAATAAATCCACAATTTTATTTGTACTTATCTCCACTTAAAACTATTGACTCAAAATATTAGTATTTGTAATCCTACAATCGCCTCAGAATAATGAAAGATTTTCATCGCTATGCATGAAACCGTACCGTAGTGTAAAACTGCTTAAAAAATAAATCTAACATCTTTTTAACTATTTAAGGTTAGGATGAGAAACATGCTGCAGGAATTAAGAAATGAGCTGAAAGCCAAGACAAAGGTTAGCTGCATTGAGCCACAGGACTGCAGTATGGGTGCCTCTTCACTTTGGCAAAGCATCATCCACACCAACTCTGGATTAAATAATGAACCAAACCTGGTTAGAGATGATCAGCACGGAAAACATGTCATCAGAACAATCCCCGAGATCTCAGAGCTGGACACAACTGAAAAAATCTATATAAAACCTCAGAAAATCAATGAGATTGAGGAACTGAGGAATACTCTGTCTTCAATGCTCTGTACACCAGATCAAAATCTTTAAAGGAATTCTGTCAAGCAGAGCTACTGTTGAAAACTCAAGAGCACACATCACAATAATTGCAACTACACAGAAGTAACCGAGTGTACCATCTAACGAATGTTACAGATGCATTTGAACTGGAGGTTTGTAAAAGTGGCTTCAGAATGTTCTGTGGAAAAAATCATTCTGCTCTTTCAATACCCATATTTATAGTCCCATTGTTTAGTGTTTTCCTACTCTTTAGCCCAGGAGCTATCCCTTACCTTTACAGCTGAAGGCTGCTTGATATCAACCGACAGTGAGCTTCCAACATCCTACTGTTCACTTCTGTACCATATGTTCTGGATTCAAACCCCAGAGTCCGTTTTGTATTTCACCATTGAGTTTCAGAAAATTGTTTAAAAAAGTGCAGTCTCCGTGTCTAACAGGTCTGGAATTGTCCAAAGAATTCTAGCCAGTTTATCTGGTTCATTAATCATAATGTAGAGCTGTATATTTTCCCTTAATCCTGCAAACCAAAATACTAAAGGGTAGGTTAACGCTAGCTGGACAACTACAACTCCTTAATGGTACTTTGTGATGATACTTCTGGTGACTGTAACTGTTTCATTCTCAACCCCCTCCCATCAAAACGTTATGCTCTCAGCTACTCATTGCATCTACTTACATACACAAGAAGAAAACCTGTGCACTGGCCTTCAATACAGAAGTTTTGTTATATTGGAATCACCCATACTACATTTTGATTCCATGATGGGAGAACTAAGGTGATATAATCAATTGGCTAAGCTTACAAATGAAATTTTCATAGAACTTTAATCCATTTCTGAACTATTTTAGTAAAGAATACAAAAGTGATAGAATACAAGTTTTTATAGCATAAGTAGAACAATGTTATACTGCAACCTGAAGTAACTAAATACACAGAAATAAAGAACCTTAGACATCTATTGCAAGGTCTGTACTAAATGATTTATATCATTGTATCACTGTACTTTGCAGTTCTCATCTTCTTGAGACATTGCAACCTGTCTCTGCTGCAGTTTTTGTTCTGGAGATTTCTTTGTACTCATTGACCGTCTACCTTTTGGTTCCCGCTTTCCTCCAATAATATCAAAGCTGCTCTTCCTAGTGCTATTTGCTAAGGACAATAGCGGTGAATCAGCTGTAGTTACTGGAATTGATGCAGAAGATGAACATGTAGCTTCAGCTTGATGCTAATGGCGGGGAAAGAGAAAGAAACAAAATTGTGAAAACCAGTGTAATGTACCTCTATTCTGTTTAGCAGTGGCATCCATCAACGTCACGCTTAGTTCCCACATCTCTAATAAATACTTGGTTTGAAGTAAGATAAAGCAGCAAATCACATGAAATATAAGAGAAACAGTTAAGTAAACAAAAGAAACAGCAATTGCATGCAGTACTGAACGGGAGCACATAAACTGGCAAATAACAAGAAAACACTAGTCTGACAATGACTAGCCTCAAGGTTCAGTTTGGCTCTTTTTAAAAAAAAGTAGATTGGAGGCTGGTCCCTGGGATTCATAAAATCCCAACCTGTCTTATAAAGAAACCACAATGGTCAGTTTCATTGTGCATATGCACATAATGGCCGACTTGTGGGTCATCAGGTTAGTCCGGGAATCACAAAGTGTTCATTTTTAGCACTTTAAAAGCTAATTTGGTCAACTTTTAAGTCATCTTTTAAACCCATCAGATCTCTGCCAACATTGCTTTTTGGCCAAAATTCCCGCAGATGATGTAGGTCACTCCCTTCATGATTGTTTGTGTGATATTCCTGTGTATAATTTGGCTGCCACGCTTTAAAATAACCTCCTGATGTAAAAGGTGCTGGATCAAGGATTATTATTGATTACACCTAATTGATATTTACCTGCACTTTTACGCTTCTGCCCTCTGCTGTTGTCTTCACTTTCATAGCAGAAGTTTGCACAACTTGTTTATGTTGCAGTTGGCTCTGGGGAGTTATTTGGGAACAAGCCCTGTTGAGCACTGTTGTCCTGCGCAATACGTAGGGACTCGGTGACACAGAAGGAAAATCTCCAGAACCTGAAATATTAAGATTGGTCATATTATGAATACTGTACCCAATTATACATGTCATCTTATTCTGAATATTTAGTTAACATTCAGCTATGAACTGTAAAATAAATAATGAACATATGGAAAAGTGCTCAAATAAACAATTTATACTGATTAAAATGGCCTCAGTTTTAATGAATCTTACAACTTGGGGCCTGGCAGTCTCTATCAAAGGGAGAAACTTTTAATATTTTTTCAGAAGAATGTTAAAATCAGGTGATTTGTCAATATTCCTAACGGCTGCACTGAGAAATGGGATTTCATCAGTGTTAATAAACGCTTCCATTTAGTCACCCTAAGCATTGTAAAATTAGACTTATTTTGCATTTTTTTTAAAAAATCTCTAAATACATCTCTAAGCTCCAATCAGTATAGATATCAAAAGGCTTCACAATCAACTCTGCTTTAATGTAGACGTTCCCTGCCCACTTAAGACCAAGTCACAGGCCTGAAATTCCTCTGACCTTTGCCTTAAAATGGTAAATTTTATTTTGGAAATTTTATAAATTCAGCCTTAAAATTTAAACCTGTTTTTCTGCAGTTCTTTAAAAAAAAAACTTGCAGAATACTGGCTGCCCAATTAAGAAGGCATTTAAGAATTTTGCAAAACCTTCACAATCTTCCATTTTATGATTATATTCTTAAAGGCTAAGACAAAGAGAACTTTCAAGCTTCGTGTTTCTAAAGCTGAGGTAAAGTTACTTTTTTCTTTTAAAAAAAGCAGTTTCTAAATGCTACCGGGAGTATGAACAGGGAATTGGGTTCTCAAATGTTTTTAAATCTTCAGTAAGACAAAATCTCACAATCATTTACACACTTACAAAATACAATGATTTCAAAGTTTGATTTTGTCATTGAATAAAACTGAACAATACACGTTCACCTAAAAATAGTTAGTGTAAAATCCCATAAAGCGCTTTGAGTTGTCCCCCCGACATAAACGTCACAATATCAAATGCGAGGATTATCATTAACTTGCCTTTCTTAATCACACCTGGAAGGGCCTCTGGTTGATGTACGTGGTCACTGCGTGCAGCTGATTTTGAAGCCCCTGGAGTGTTCCCACTTCTTGTTCTCTTTGACCAAGTTCCTGGTTTCTGCTCGTCAGTCTCCTTCTTGGATTCAGCTCCTCTGTTCCTCTTTATGGGATGTCTCGGTTGACCAGTGGGAGATTTTTCCTGGCTTTTGCTCAAACCCTCTTCAGAAGCAACACAACTGTCATCCAGAGACTTCAGCTGTTGTTTCAACTGACGACTAGATTGACCAGGTAGTTTATTTTCATTGCTTTTACACACAGTTGATTTTGATGGAGGAAGTACATTTTGTTCTGCATTGTTGCTCAGACTTTGGGAACTGGACTGTTGTAAATGACTGCCTAACATCTCAACTCGATTCTTTAACATTTCATTTTCCTCCTCTAGTGTGTGACTGTTTTTGATTAGATTCCAGTATTTCTCTATATTTTCATCAGCTTCGTTTGTTTTTTCCTCCAAGGACTCTCTGAGCTCCTTTAGCTCGGTTCTTAGGTCATCGACCAGCGAATCAGAACCTGTCAATATAAAATTAAGTTGAAATGTTACAATGGAGTTAATGGTGTTTCCAGAAGTTTGAACAACAGACTTATAAACAGTCTACACACTGACATATATTCTCCTATGCACACCTTGCTCACCAGTAAATAGGTCATTACTATTCAGAAACATTTTGTATTGGGCTTCCTAAAGCCTTCCCATCAGTCTATCTGGATTCAGACTTGGGTTTCAGAGATGAAGGATCAAAATACAGTGTATCTTCCCAAGGTAATAAGTATTCAAAAGCCAACGCGTACAAAAGTTCAGAGGAAAGTTACTTTATACAAAAATGGGAATATTACAAGTTGCAAATCTGTCCATGGTCTGTGTCCAGCTCAAATCAATGCTGTGTTTATTTGCTGCTTACTGACCCTGCTTTGGACTCTTCTGTAGCTTGGTAATGAGCTCATCTTGCTGCTCAGTGTATTTTTTCAGGGATTCTTTCTCTTGCTCAAGTTGTTTACAGTTTCTCATCCACAGAAACAATTTATTCTGAGCAGAAGCTTTGTCTTTTTTTAGCTTTGCCATGGTGCTTTGCAATTCATCCACCTATAGAAATAAACAATCATAACATTATCATTCTTTAACAAGTATGTTACAACACATATTTCCATTTAACATTGTAATAATTTATTACAGTAGAAAGAAAACAAAAGACCTCTAATGAAATGAAAATACACATCCAATCCTACAATTAACATATGCGACAATTATTGGTAAATAAGTACATTTCATACAGTCACCCGTGAACAAACATAAGTATTCCTTATAAAATACAGTAGGCCTAACGTTCCTCTTAACTAAAAACAGATAGAAAGCATCTTTAACAATATTTTCTCTTTTTTAAATATTATTCAAAATTGAGTTGTACAGAGTTTATATTCACCAATTGGAAATAACAAATACGATCATTTTTTCCCACCAGGAACATAGACACTTGAATCATATACAGCATGCAATGTGATTTCCAGAACTAGCCTCACTGCACACACACAGCAATCCTGTAAAGCAGTGCCTTCAGCCACTATGCCCCAAAACTCTCTCCCTCAATCCCTCCGCCTTGACCCCTCTTTTCCCGCCTTCAAATCCCACTTAAAGACCTTCCTTTTTACAGTCACCTCGGTGTCAGACTCCGCCACTGTGACACTACTCTTGGTGAAGGGTGTATATAGATACAAGTTGTTGTTGTAGTAGAGCATCTGATGCCACAGAGGAGCACTACAAACTACAACACAAACTTCATTACCTCCACTTCAAGCCATTACCAACACTGACACAGGGAAATGAAAGGTAATGTATAAAAATCTAAACACTGCACCTTTGTCTCACTGAATTGTTTCAACTTGCAGGAAGCTTCTTTTAAAGCGGTATTTAATTCTTCTTTTGTCAACTTCAAATTGCTGATTTCCACATCTTGTGCAGCAAGCTGTTGCTCCATTCCAGTAATTTTTTGCTGGTATGACTGAGCACCAGATTCATGCTAAGAAAGTAAAAGATGGAATTTACAGTAAATTCTCTACATACAAATTTAAAGAAAACATTTAACAGTTTATGTGCATATCAAATGTTCAACGTAGCATTGAATTTGAACAATATTCCAGTTACACAATCATGGCCATAATTTGGAAACTTATCGGGAGCCTATCAATTCTAATGATAAATCTACCATAAATATACACAATCTCTTAATTTAAAGCTTTTTTTACACTTACAGGGTGCTATCACATTGGAAGAATGCTTTCAAGTGCTTTTCCACCGGCTGAGCAGATATCAGAGCTGCGCATGAGAGGGGCGATCAGAAGCTCAATAAAAGGCAGGTCTTCAAGCAGGAAGAGAGAAGGGGTGAGGCAGTGGGAATTTGGGATTTGTCCATCAATAGTGGGTCGGAGGATTGAGCCCAGGAAATGCTACATGCAACCATGCAGGAGCAGAAGCCATTAATTAAGGCATAGTGGACACATTGAGATAGGTAGGAGCAAAATTAGGAAAGTGCAAAGTTTTGGAAGTGAATCAGAGGAGATGTGGTGGAAAAGGATGGAGTGGCAGTGGTCAAAGGCATGGAACACAATGTGAGAGAATTCAAGCGAAGACGAGGAGGCATAGGAAGCTCTGGTTCTTGACAGGGAGAATATTGTCTTAATGGCTTCTTTAAGACTGTTCCTTTCTTTGGATCATTATTTTCTAATTCTTCTAACTTATTTCTTCTTCTGAATTACACTTTTGAGTGTACCTAGTCCATTTCACATAATTGAGACCCGTGGTAAGGTTTGATTCTTGCCCTGGAACAGGATGAGCTATTTGGCAGGGATGATCTGGTAATATTTTAATAATAATAATTATTAATTATTTTACCTGATCCTGGCATTCTTTGAGCACGGTTTGGTGCTCTTCTTGGATGTGTTGTAGTCTCCATTTATGCTCTTCCACTTCCTTCCTCAGCTTTTCAGTGGTTTTCAACTCAGTCTGAAGGCATCCAATTTCCTTTTCAAAATTTATTTTTTCTGACTGGAAGATTTCAATCTGCAACTGTAGAAAGAGGTTATTTTTAACCAGAGGAAACACTTTTTTTAAAAAAAGCTGAAATAGCTGTTTGTTTTGTGTTTTTTTTAAGCCAAACATTACAAGATTGTTTCCCATAATATGTTAATACTTTGGGGTGCAATCTTTCACTTAATTACTTTAAAAATAAACATCTAGAAAAATACAAAACATGTTTAAAAATAGTCCTTGCATTTGACATAGCATCTTTCACATCGGGGAAGATATTTCAACGGCACCTTAAACGGTACCTGGAGAACCTAGACTGCGAGTTTGTAGGACTTGAATCCACAATCTTCCGACTCAGCAGCAACTGCGCCTGGCCAATACTCTGCTTAGAGAACAATATGTTTAGAGAACGAGTTTGTGGGACACTTTCTGTGCGCAATTGGCTGCCGCGTGTCACCCACAAAATACAGTCACTAAAACTTACAGTGTATTCTGTGAAGCGCTTTGAGATGTTCCGAAGACGTGATAAGGCGCTATATCAAATGCAACAATTATTATTTATTATACGTTCAGAAGTAGAAACCATGGAATTTTACCCCTCGGAAATCCAAGGGTGGGAAAACAAATTCTAGTACCCAACTATGAGTCAAAGCTCGAACCTTCTATATAACACAAATGACACTTCCCTTCTTTAACATTTAAATCACTTGTGCCTGTTCGTTGCTAGGTTATTTCTTGAAACACAACTAAACTTTTTTACAAAAGCAATTTCATTTTCTTTCACTGTTTGCATTGAACGCATTGACTTTTCAAACCTTGCATAACCGTGATTTTCTGGTACAAACCTTAAAGCTGTCTACCTGACGTTTGGCGTCTTCTAGTTGTGTTGAAATCACTTTTTTTTCCTCATCAAATTCTTGATGTACCTTCACAATCTTTTCATTGGCTTTGCTCAAATCATTCTCCAGTTTATTATAACTTTCTCTGAATTCAGCTACCTGGAAGATAAAATATCAAGCATAGTTATGAATCTAATATAGGGCAACTTTATTACAATACAGGCTCGGAATCCATAATCTGAACTCCATATTATAACAGGGTGCACTATGTTATTTCCTGTATGCCATCCATGTACAGTCTCTGGATCACCTGGTGGCAAGCCAGTCAACACTCAAAGTGCAGTTGTGCTATAAACTGACCAGAGTCACTCTGGTATATAACAACCACGAACAACAAGAAGAACAATTTGCATTTATATAGCGCCTTTCATGTCAGGAGGATGCGAGTTAAAAGTTAGATAAATTAATTAATTGTATGTTCCAGCAATTTAATCATCACAATTATTTTATCTAACTATTGGTAACTTCGACATTTAGATATAAATAGGAAAAATAAAAAAGAAATCTACTCTAAGCACTTCTTAAATCAATTGTTTCTTAATGACTTGAGGCAGCATCTTTAAAAATAAAAACACTACGATCATAAATCAGAACATTAACCTCTAAGAAAGCTTTTTTTAAACAAGGGCGCATAACACAAAATAGACCTACAATCTCGAAGTTCCATTTACTTCAAACGATAGTAAACAAATTTGCAGATTTAAAATTCTTTAGAAGAGATCTTTACAGTAATTTTACAAGAACAAGGGACGCAATTCTTTTGCTGAACAGAAGAATCATACAAGCAAAAGAACTAATTAACTTTAATGGTTTTGCTTAATTATATTTGTTCTACTACAAAATGCAGTTGTTACACTTTAAAGAGAACCCTGTGAAGCATTTTGAGCTGTCCCCCCGGACAGCCTGAAAGGCACTATATCAAATGCAAGGATTATTATTATACCTGATTTTGAAGAGCAGAACTTTGGGATCTTGCAATCTCTAGCTCATTTTTTAGTCGCTTCTCAGAATTTTCCAAAGTTTCTAATGTGACTTGTATTATTTCATTCTTTGCCGCCAGATCTTGTTTGCTTTGCTGGGCTTCAGTTAGAGCTACCTGCAGGTTGTTTTTCTTCTCGTCAAAGTTCGCCTTTTCATCCTGCAGATTAGACATCTCCTTTGAGACTTCCTGCTTCCACTGTTCCAGATCTATGACCTGTTGTTGAAGCCTGCCCTTTTCTTGTATGTGTTCACCCAGTTGCTGTTGAACTACTTTAAGATCTTTATTTAGGGTCATGTCCACAGATCGCAATTCCTCATTTAACCTTTCAGCTTCTTGAAGCTGTTGAATGAGTTGAGCCTTTTCACGTTCCAAACAAGAAGTGTGATCAAGCCAGTCTTCTTCTTTTACTCTTAGCTTTTCCAGCTCTCCATTGCAAACATCAATCTGCTTGTTTAAATGGCTGATTTTTGACTGTAACTCACCGACAGAATTTTCATACGTTTTTGCCATTTTGTTTCTTTCAATTTCATCTGTTTCTGAAAAATGAATTTCTAATTCCTCCAACTTTTCCTGGTTTTGCTGCAGTTGCTTTTTCAGATCTTCTTTTTCAGAAGAGATGGTATTGAGTTCCATGCTTAATGTAGCTAGCTTTTCAGTGATGGTTTTATTTTCCTCTTCTAATACCTCTGACTGCTCCTTGGCAGTTTCAGCTTGCAACACCATATCCTCAAGATTCTCCTCAGCAACCTGAAGCTCCCGTTCAAGTGTCTCAATCCTGTCTTGAAGTGAGTCTGCTTTTCGGTCACTTGCTTTGAGTTTTTCAGCTACAAATTGGCTTTTTTTCTGATCTGCTTCAATTCGTACCTTAAGTTTCTCAATGGCGTGCCGCATTTCAGCTACTTCGGCCTGAGTGGAGTTTAGCCTTGTTGCAATTTCACCTTTCTCCAGCATAGAGGACTCCAGCAATTTGACTAATTCCAACTTTTCAAGCTTTATCATGTCCAGCTTACTTTGCACAGCTTCAATTTCTGTCACTAGTGTTGCATTCCCTTCCGTTAATTGCTTCAGTTGCTCCTTGTTTCGGGTTGTGTCTGACATGGTATTCTCCTCAAGATTTTGCAATTGGTGCATCAAGTCTTTCTTTTCTCTTGAAATCTTCTCCATTTGTTCAGTAGCACTTTGAAGCTGCTCAGTTAGTTTTTTTGTATCTGCTTCGAGCACCCTATTTGTGTTAGTAGAATAGATTTTATCTGCTTCGAGCTCTTGCACTTTAACTTTTAGGCTTTGATTAGTTTTCTCCAGTTCATCATTTACTTCAGCTAAGGTGTTAAGCTCCCAACTAATCCTTGTGTTCTTTGTTTTGAGGTCAGTCAGTATTTCCTCCTGGTCTGTGGTGATCTTTTGATTGGATTCCACTTCTTTTTCCAAAGTATCCTTCCTGATCTGCATTTTATCAAGATCAACTTCCATCTCGAGGATATGTTTTTCTAAATTAGCTTTATCTGACTTTGCTCGTTTCAATGCATTTTCAAGTTCAAGGACTTTTTCGTTCCAGCTTTCTTTGGCCATCTCCAGGCTCTCCAACATCTTGGTCACATCAGACAATTTAACCTTGTCCACCTGCTGCTGTAGTGTATTATTGCTGAGTTCGTCCTCCAAATCTTTTATTTTCTCAGAAAGATTCTGATTTTCAACAACAGATGAATTCAGTTCATTACATAAACAGTGTTTCTCCTCTTCTAACAGCATTACCTTCTTTTCTAATTCGTTGCAAGCAGTAGTTCTGGAGACCAGTTGTTTTTGTTGAGTATCCAAACTTGAACGGAAACTCTCTATTTCACTGAGCATCTCGTTGACCATTTTACCAGATTCTTGCTCAAACTGCGTTTGAGAAACATCACCAACTTGGGTTGGTGAATGTTCCACTTGGTCACAAAGGCTCTCGTGACTATCAAACTGTATTTGATCAATTGTGCATTTTTGTTCCCAGTGACTTTCTTCTAATTCAACTTTAAGATTGTTGCTTGTTCTGTCAATCTCTTGGTCAAGACTTATGGTAGAATCATTGCAAAACACAGGAGTTTCTTCTATTGCTATACAAGTCTGCAAATTAGATTTTCGGCGGTGGTATACTTTGCTTTCAGGGGACAGAATGTTGCAGTTAAATTGCAATTGACCCGAAATCCTGGTTAATTCTCTTTGTTGCCTCTGCTCCTTTGAATCTGGTTGCTAAGTGAAAAACAAAAGTAGCTTTGATTTAAAATCCCTCACATGCGAGATAGGCTTACTTGCAATACATATTAGAATTGATTTCTGAACACAAATGTGGCATCCTATGGAAACCTTCATGTAAAGTTCAGCAAAATGGATTCTTAGATGTTCAGATGTACCACATAGTATAACTATGGTAAGGCAAAACAGTTTGAATGACATTAAATATCCTAGTTTGATACCAAGAAAAATAAATACGTAGGAGCTGGCATTCTTTGCTACTCAGCTTCTACCCCCAGTCTGGGTGTTCAGCCAGCAGTGTTAAGTGTTGTGTGTGTTTGTGGAGGGATGTGTGTGTGGTGTGTGTGGGGTGGGGGAAAGGAGTGTGGGTGGGTGGGTGTGGTATTTAAGCGCTCTGGGATGCTATATAAATGCAAGTTGTTGAAAATGAATACATTTCTATTAAATCCCATATTTTTGTGATATCAAAAGGTGATTTGAACCCTATACGAAAATATTGATCTTACTCTGTACCAATTCTACAATAGTTTAGTTGCCGCAGCACTTTTGCATTATAGCATTACTCACCTTTTGTGGTGTGTCATCTGCATCAAGATCACTGTCACACAATGACTGAGAGCAGAGGTTGAGGGAATGGAGCTGAATCCTTGCACTCTCCAGCCCTTTCAATAGCAGTTGGGTCTGTTGCTTTTCCACCGCTAACTTGCATTCCATCTCAGTTGTTAGATTGGATAACTTCAGCTGCCATTCCTCAATTTCAGATGAATATTGTTGTTTCAGAGAGTCAAGTTCTGCCCGAGTGGAGTTTAGCTTTGCCTCAACTTCACCTTTTTGCAACATAGAGGACTCCAGCAATTTGACTAATTCCAACTTTTCAAGCTTTATCATGTCCAGCTTACTTTGCGTGGCTTCAATTTCTGTCACCAGTGTTGCATTTCTTTCCTTTAATTGATTGAGTTCTAGTATTTCCTTTTCCCTCAGCTGATGTTCCTCTTCTGCTTTGATTTGGCTTTCAGTGAACTGACTTTGCGTATTTTCCAACGAACTAAGGAGAACGACTTCCTGCTCTTTGCTTTCTTTAAGTTCACTCTTCAGATCTTCAATGGTTAGGCTTTGTAGAGCTACTTGTTTCATTAAAGATTCTTTGTGATTCTTGTTTTCACTAAACTTCAAGTGCATACCTTCGAGCTCCGAATGTACTTCACTCAGATTTTTCTGCAAAAGTTCTCTTTGCTCTTCCCCTTGTTGAATTGTTGTCTCCATGTTGTTCAAAGCTGTTTGCATCTGTACTTTGACTCCTGCTGGACAGAGTCCAATTTAGATTCCAAATCACTGTTTCGAGTTATTGAATTACTGAGCTCAGACTGACACAGAAACAACTTATCCTTAAGCTCTAGTATTTCTGCAACTTTCAGGCATTCCTCCTCTGCTTTCAGTTTATATTTTGTCTGGCTTTCATTGCATTGATGTTGCAAATTTTCCAACGAACGCACAAGAACGAACTCCTGCTCTTTTCTTTTTTCAAGATCACTCCTCAGTTTCTCAATAGCTTGCTCTTGTACAGCTATCTGGTCCACCAAAGATTCTTCTCTGTTCACACTTGCACTAAATTTCAAACACATGGCTTCCATCTCTGCTTGAACTGCACTCAAGTCTTTCTGTAAAAGAGCTCTTTGCTCCTCACTGCACTGACATTTGTTCTGAATATTATTTAAATCAGCTTGCATTTTTTCTGTTTGCAAACCATGAGATTCTAAAGAACCCTCTAGCTCCTCTAAGTCCATCTGTAGAAGCTGAAGTTGGACTTGACGTTTCTGAAGTTCGGTTTCTTTTTCTTCAATTACACTGTTCAATCGGTTTAAAGAAAGATTCTTCTCCGCAATTAACTCACTGCTTTTTACATCTTCAGAATGAGCTATGTTCAAGTCATATTCGAGTCTTTTCATTTTAGCTGTAAAAGCAATTTCATTCTCAGTTTGTGCTGCTCTTAAACCCTTCAGTTCATTTACTTGTTCTGTTACCAAATGTTCTAGGTGCTTTTTTTCCTGGAACAGTTTATTGTAATCTTCTTGCAATTTACTTTTTGCCGCATTGGATGTATTAAGTTCCTTTTTCATGTCATTTACTTTACTTTTCTCCTCTAAATTAATTGCCTCTGTATTCTTTATATCTGACTGCAAGTTCTCTAATTTCTCAATCATTCCTTTGATCTTTTCGTCATAGGCTGAAATGTTGGCAGTATATTCGGCACAATCCTTCTGATATTTGCTTTCCAGTTCTTCCATCTCCACATTTTTATTCAACAATTCCTTTGATTGCTCACACACCTGTACTTCTAAGGAATCTTTGTTTTCTTCCAAAGCACTACATTTTTGTCGGAGGCCTCTTACTTCTCCTTCACACTCGGTATATTGTTCTAGTAATCCATGTTCTTTGGCTTCAACCTCACTCATCTTTTCTAACAATTGCTTGATTTCATTGTCTTTAAGTTCTGCTGTGTTTTCCAACATTTTATTTTTTTCTTCCACCTCGGATTTTTGCTGATCCAATGCTACACATCGTTTTTTAAGCTCCTTAAGTAGATTCTCTGTCACCTTAGTCTCTTCGTGCTTTGTAGTGAGTTCCAGCAATTTTGCTTCGTTTACTTTCATTGCATCTTCAAAACTAGAATTTTTTTCATTTAATTCCATATTTTTCCGTGTCAAAATATTAATAGTGTCTTTCAATTTCTGACTTTCCTCCAAAACCTTTTCAAGTTCTTTTACCTTTAGGTGAATTAACTCTACTTTTTCTTCATTGAACTTCTCAGACTGAAGATGAGCTTCTTCCAGCTTTATTTCCAGCTCTTCTATAGTTTCCTGTAAGCATTTTGAATCACTTATCTTTATCTCAAGCTCTTCTGCAAACTTTTGAATGGATTTATCTTTATCGTTGAAAGTTGCTTCCAATGCTTCAGCGTGTTGCTGCTGTGCAGAGCAAGCCAAGTCTAGTTGCTTGATTTCCTGGTTCATTTCAGCTTGCTTTATTTCTGCCTCCTTTACCTTTTCGTCCAATTCTCCTTTGAGTTTCAACAGTGCTTCGCACTGGTTCTGCAGCTGGGAGCCAAGATGCTTCTGAAGCTTCAAAGAGGATTCTAATGAGACAATCTGATCTTTTAAAAAGGAAGTGTTGTGTTGATACTTTTCCAGCAATAATTTTAAACTTTCAACCTCATCAGCTTTCTCAAGAGAATTACTTTCATGCTCATCTATCAAACTTGCCTTCTCTGCCTCAACATTCGTGAGACGCTGTTCAAGATTATGGATTGTCTGTGAAAAACTGTCTCGTAAATTTAAAATTTCAGTCTCTTTCAGTTCAATTAAGGAATCTTTTGATTTCGCCAAGTTATTTGCATCTTCATATTCAGCAATCAATGCCTCTCGAGACTCTTCTAATGTCTCAACTTCCTTGGTTTGGTGCTGAAGGTTTTTCTCCAGCTCAACTATCAGTGATGTAAGTTGTGAGATGTTCAATCTCAGGTTTTCTACATCTTTACTATGTTTTTGTTCCTCTTGGACTGTTCTCTTTGTTAATTCTTCAAGGGCCTGCTTTTGGGTTTCCAACTCAACTGCTTTGCTGTTTAGCAAATTATTTAGATCATCAGTCTGCCTTTGCAAATTCTCTCTCTCATCTTCAAGTAGCTTTTGCTTGACAGACTGCTCTTTACGTATGTTCTGATCAACCTCTATAGTCTGCTCCAGTTCCTTACTTTTCCTCTGAGAAACGTAAAGATTCTGCTCCAGCTCTTCAATTTTGTTAACGAGCCCCTGCTTTTCTTGTTTAAAATTATCCACAAAACATACATTTTCTGTCTTCCATTCACCCAGAGAGTCATATTCCTCCTTTAGTTCCTGAAACTCCTCCTCCTTCAAATGCAAAGCTTTTTGCAGTTCTTCCATTTTGGTTTCCTTTGCTCCGATTTGAACATTCAGTTGTTCTTTACTTTTCTCGCTTTCTTTCAGAGTTTTCAGAACAGAGTCTCGTTCCAGTTTCAACGCAGACACAGTTTGGTTAAGGTTGTCAATATTTATAGATATTGACCGGCTCTGTTCATCTAGTTTCTCCCGAAGAGCTTTTAGCTCAGCTTCCTGGGCATTGGTCTTATCTGGAGAGTTGGGAACGATGATAAAAGACATTTCAATAACAAATATTATTGTTGTTAAAATATTCCAAGGTCGCTCATTAAACCAAAATATGCAGCAAGAGTGGACGGATATCAAATGTGATTCTCTCCACCAGAACAGCCATGAAATAAATGATCAATTTAACTTGGCAAGGAAATACGGAGTAACTTCCTTCTCTTTTCAATACTGCCATGGGATCTTTAACATCCAGACAGATAAAGCCTTGGTTTAACGTCTCACCTTAAAGACAGAACCTCTGACAATGCAGCGCTCTTATTAACTATAACACACATCATTTTATCTTGAATGTTGTACGCTATCCACGACTATTGAATAAAACGCTTTTACCTTTCATTTCCTCTCCATAACTCCGGCAAATGTTCAAATCGTGTTTGCTCTTTTTTAGTTCATCATCTAGTTGGAGTACCCGAATGGAACTCTGGTCGAACTGGCTGCGTAGCCCGTTTCTTTCCTTCATAATATCCTGCAAGAAGAGGAAACGAGCTAGTACATTTGTGTAACTAATTCAAAATAACTGAAGGTAATTTAATAAAATCTACTTTGCATACAACTGAACAAATTAATTTATTGAAGAGGAATAGTTAAAATTTAACTATTTTTAATTAAATAGCTATGGTTATTCATCATTGGTGTCCAACAACAATAATTTATATCTCCCTTCATGTTGGGTACCGGCTTTGAGCGCATAATGCCATCCTAACAGGATACTCAAACAAGAACGATATGAAGAATGATATATTATTTATGTTTGTTTGGGGTTTTTAAATTATGTGAATATAGTTCAGTCTCTGTAAAGACATTGACCGGCAAACAATGGGAAAATGACTAGGAGACTATTGTTATTCTTGGCACCCTGGGGAATCCCACAGTTCCTTAAGAAAAGCTGCCTCTTAGCTATTTTTTCCAGTTGCCTGTGAATCTACATCAATCTTGACCCTCTTCAGCAAGGCATCTGTCACCCATCATGTGCTTGGTTGCCAGGGGCATTGCCATTTAGTTAATGTGTTCACAGACCTCTGAGAAACTGAGAAAAGCCCGAATCAAAGAATAATAAATATAATAATAATAATCCTTGCATTTGATATAGACCTATTCACGTCTTCTAGACGTTTCAAAGTGCTTCACAGAATATACTGTAAAGTGAATTGACTGTATATTCGTGGGCGAAACACGGCAGCCAATTGCGCACAGCAGCGTTATATAATAATAATAATCCTTGCATTTGACATAGCGCTTTTCACGTCGGGAGGACGTCCCAAAGCGCTTCACAGAACACACTGTAAAGTGAATTCACTGTATATTTGTGGGCGAACGCGGCAGCCAATTGCACACAGCAATGTCCCACAAACAGTCGTAGATTGAAAATGACCAATTTATTATTGTTTTGGGTTTTGGAGGGATTTTTATTAGGCTCTGTGTGGAGTAAGGAAACGAAAAACGATCCGCCAATCGACTTAACAACCAGGTTCCTATTTACTGCCAAGTAAACAGAGGCTTGTGGTGTAAGGAAACTAGCACAATATTTTGCCCTCCTGGGAATAAAACCCAGGTTCTCTCGCTTGCGAGGCAAGTTCTATTACCGCTGAGCTACAGGACTCGATAAGATTTCTTTGCATCAAATCGAAAAAATACTCAACCAGCCCAAGCAGTACTGGGGAATGAGGGTGGGAGAGAGAAAGGTTGCGCAACATTATTCTGTAAACATTGCAACATAGAAGTGGAAGCATGCATCCACTCCACAAATGCATAGTTGTACAGTCTGTTTTGCAATGCTCTGTACTTATAATTAACTACCCATTAAGAGAAGAGAGAATAATTCCACACCACCAGTCAAGAGTAAGCACACAGTATTCTTTGCACTGGACCTTACATTGAAGTTCACTTAAGTTGATCTTTCCTGGGTTTATATTCAGGTAAATGTGAACTAAGGCTAGTGCTAAGGTTTGAAAGTTATTGTACCAAACCGGCTGCTCCATTCACTCAGCGTGCCCTGGTCTGCTTCATATCCCCTGTCTTACCTGCCCCCATCACGGGCGGTTAAGGCAGTGTGACTTTCTCTGGCAAGAGGAAATTAAACTTGGCCTAAAGCCCCCGGCCACTACTGGCAGAATTCTGTCATATCATGCTCTGCAGACACTGTTGCTCAGTGATGTTTAGACAAGACACTGGTCTTACAGACCTCTACTGCGCATAGTCTCTTCTGGATAAGGAGAAATGAGCTCTTGCCTCTCCTTTGCCCCATTAGACAATGAAGCAATGGTTTTGCCACAATTGAAGCAACAACAACAAGATTCCATTTGCAGAGCGCCTTTCACGTCGGGAGGACGTCCCAAAGCGCTGGACAGTTGGGTCAGGACCTGAGCAGTGGGGAAATGGTCAGGGGGAGGGAAGGGAGGGAGCGAGGAGGGGGTAGAGAGTCGAGAGGGGAGCTGAAGGTCTCAAGACCAAAGAGAAAGGTCTTGAAACCGGCCTTGAAGGAGGAGAGGGAGGAAGCGGCGAAGGCACTGGGGGATGGAGTTCCAGAGCCTCGGGGCTGAGAGGCTGAAGGCCCGACCACCGATGGTAGGGGCGGTTGGGGCGGGGGATGTGGAGCAGACTGGAGCCAGAGGAATGGAGGGTACGGGCGGGTAGGTAGGGGGACAGTAGGTCGGAGAGGAGGGAGCGAGGCTGTGAATGGCCTTGTAGGTGAGGATGAGGATCTTGAATTCGATCCTCTGGGGGATGGGAAGCCATTGGAGGCGAGCGAGGGCGAGGGTGGGAGTGAGGGCGAGTTCTGAATGACCTGCAGCTTGTGGAGGGAGGTGCCGGGAAGGCCGGCGAGGAGAGTGTTCCCATAGTCCAGCGTTGAGGTGATAAAGGCGTGGACCAGAGTTTCAGCAGCGTGAGGGGTGAGGTAGTGCCGTAGTCTGGCGATGTTTCGGAGGTGATTGAAGGCGGTGCCAGTTGTGGCGCGGATATGAGGAAGAAAGGACAGCTCAGGGTCAAACAGAACACCGAGGTTCCTGACCGGCTTTGAGAGGTAAAGCACAAGTAATTTCTACCTAAAACTATTCCAGAATATTAACAGAATCAGTCGACTCTTCAACGCTCTGAGAAAAACAACAAATTGTTTCCCTACTCCGACAATTATAATGGAGTCCTGTAGCTCAGTGGTTAGAGCACTCGCTTTGAAAGCGAGAGACCTGAGTTCAATCCCAGGCAGAGGGCCAAACCTCGGGCAAGTTTCCTGACTCCACACAGAGCCTAATAATAATCCCTCCAAAACCAAAAACAATAATAAATTGGTCATTTTCAATCTACGACTGTTTGTGGGACATTGCTGTGCGCAATTGGCTGCCGCGTTCGCCCACAAATATACAGTCAATTCACTTTACAGTGTGTTCTGTGAAGCGCTTTGGGACGTCCTCCCGACGAAAAGCGCTATATCAAATGCAAGGATTATTTTTATATGTCCACATGTACAGAGAGCCTCAAAGTAAAATTGTAGATTTACTAGCTTAATTGGTTTTCAGCATCCACCAATTTCCTTAGTTGCAGTTTTCACCAAAATTGACAATCTCTATGGGATACTTGCAGGAGGTGGAATACAGTAACATTCTATAATTAATCACATTAATATTTTGTGTTTGTGAATCTGGATTTTTGCCTCAATTTCCAACCAGTTCCAATTCATCCCACAAGAGGAAAATTCTTGCAGTAACCAATGTCTAAAATTTATAGTGCTAGAAAATATACCAAAATGTAAACAATGCAAGGCAGAATCGATATTACTGATTTTGTGTTTACTTTGCTTCAGGTAATTTGTAGAGAAACAGTCACTGGGAAATAAAAATGCAGTTGGGGAGAGTAGCAAACACATTTTAATTCCTCTACTGAAATTTACCTCGAGCTTCTTCTTTAGATCATTTTCTTTTATCTGATTTGCCTGCAACAACTGCTCTGTGCAACAGAGTTTCAGTTTAATTTCATCCAGTTCTTCTTCCAGTTTCCGCCTGTGTACTGATACCTGTACACATAAAGCATAATGTCCAAGTTATTTAGTTTCCTTACTCCACACGCCTAATAATAATCCCTCCAAAAACAAAAACAATAAATTGGTCATTTTCAATCCACGACCGTTTGCGGGGACGCTGCTGTGAACAATTGGCTGCCGAGTTTCGCCCACAAAATATACAGTTAATTCACTTTACAGCATATTCTGTGAAACGCTTTGAGACGTCTCGAAGACGTGAAAAGCGCTATATCAAATGCAAGGATTATTGTTATTATTAATTCAAAATGTTACTCAAAAATGTTTACAACAAAATTACATTTGTATAGCGCCTTTCACGTCACGAGGACATCCCAAGACGCTGGATTGTCCTTGGGAAAGAATATATTTTAATTGGTGCTTTGCCTTACTACATTCAAAACAACACATGCCGATGGGTTAGCAAGCTTATCCACTGGGCCATACAGACCAGGAATGTCATCCATTTTTTGTCCCTGGTTTGGCTGAATCTCTAACCTCAGCCTGGATGGCACACAGTGAACTGAACATCTCAGGTTGGCGGGTGGGGGTGGGGGGGGGTGGGGAAGAGAATCAGCCAGTGTTTGAAACTCACACTTGCTATCCAACAATATCCTTTTGGAAGTGCACTTGTGGAGTGGGAACAAGATTAGTGGTCAGTTGTAAGGTCTATAAAGTCACCGACCAACACTACATTGTTTAGGCTCAAGCATGAATAAAGGCTTCATGGGTAATATACCAAAGGACACAGTGGAACCGTACCCAGCGGGAAGAAAAAAATATTTAGATGCTTATTCGGGAGAAAAGTGGTGGAGAAAATCAGCAGTTGGTTTTACTAAAGTTGCACATACTTTATCAATCTCAGACTGTGTCGCATCGTTACTGTTTTTGGCTTGTTGCAGTTCCTGGTTCAGTTTGTTTTTCATTTGGTTGAATTGAAGGTCCAAGCTCTGCAGGGACTGCTGTTGACAAGCAAATTCCTGTAGAGAAAAATATTTCAAGTTTAAAATTGGATACTTTGTTAAAAAATATAAGTGTGGCAGACTCGATATGTTACGAATATCATGGAATGGTGCGCCATAGATTCAGTTTCTCAATCATATTATAAGGAAATATAAAACTCCACCCCGTCCCCACCCCAACAGAAAGGTCAATTCAGACAGTTTCCACTAAGGTTTAAGCTGTTGAGCTATGGAATTCTTTCTTTTCTTTTCATGTATATAAAGATTACAGATTTGTATGTAGCTGTCGGTTACTTTGAATCCGATTCAGACTCCATACTTCAGATGTAGAGATGGACACTGACCATATAAGATCTTCTCATTCAAACTATTTCAATACATTGTCAATGAATTAGGCTTTGATCACTTATTCTGGTTAAAGGTTAATAAAACAGCACTGTGCATTTTCAATTCACCTTCTGGTATTCTTTTTCCTTGTCTCTTAACTTTTGTTCCATGTTGCGTCGAGTACTATCAGCATTTTGTCTCTGGCAGCTCAGTTCATCAGACACCTGCTTCAATTTCTGCTCGAGGATGGCACACTAACAAGAAGCATATAACAATGTAAATATGTGTAATGTGTGCACTGAAACAAAAAAGGAGAAAATGCATCAGCAATACTTTGTTTTTTTGAATACTTAAGTGTTATATTATGCCTATATAATACTTATAGTATTAAACATTTAGTTATACCTATATAGTATGATATTTCTAGATTTTGAAACTTTACCCACAAATATTAAATTTATTTGGTCACAGCAAAATAAAGCAATATTGTTCCGCACTGGAAATATTCCATTCAAATTCTTAAATTTAAACTGTGCCTATCCATAGCAATAGTTTTAATAAATTAAACTATTGTTTTTGAATGGTATATTGTTTTTATTAACTATATAGTGAAACTCGAATACTCATCAAAACAAGGGAAATCATCCAGTAGATAAACACAATTGGTGTGCAATACAGGTTGCACTCTGAGTGGCCAGAAGGCAGAAACTGTGTTGGGAGAGGTTCAGGGGGTGATCTGCCTTCCCAATTATTGTAGATAAAATCAAATTGCACTAGTTTTAATATTTGTAGTTTCCCAAGCCGAGAGGGTCTACAGAAAGCCTACTCAAAATTTCTAAAACTGACCACCTGACTAGAACCTTGCTGATAATTTGCGCTTGGATTTATATACAAAATATATACAAGTTCAAGTCCTTGTTGGATTTTCTTTCTCTAAAAATCAGAGGAAACGTCTGGTTATGCAGATGATCCATGGAGATCTAAAATGATAGGAAATATAAAGAATCAATTAATGTTACTATACCTTATCAGTAACCTGCTCATGCTGTGTAATTACTCTGTTCAATTCATCTCTACACTTATTCAGGTTGTGTACTTTCTCAGAGAGATCTGCTTTTGTTTTCTCAAACTGAAGTTGAATTTCTTGTTGCCTGTTGAGATCATTTTTAACTTCTTTCTCCTGAGCTTGAATTCGAAGTTCCAGTTCCGATACTTTAGCTTTCAGTTCTAAAAGACACAATGGCATATCTCTATAACAAATTCTCTGATACGAAACACCGATCTGAAATATTAAACTAATTTGCCCAAAACCATCTATAATGGTCGTCATCATCGTAGCTGATCTGTTACAATAAAAATGTTGTTATTAGAAAAATGAAATCAATAAAATCAGAAATTCTATGGTACCCTGATTTTGTGATTTCAGTTGTTCCTCGTGCTTGAAGCTATTTGTGCCGTCATTGAATTGACTTTTTGAAGGTGCAGTCTTCTGCACTGATTTAGTTCCTTGCCATTCATCAAGATCCCATTGAAGATTCAAAGGGGCCGATCCCCTCTTCAGTGGTGTTTCCATAGAACGGGAGGACACCTGGCTTGGAGTCTGCTCTTGCTGCCACGGAAATATAGATGAAGAAGTTTGCTGACGTGCAATATCTCGGTGGCTTATGGTTCCTTGAGCCTGTGTTTGGTTAGTCTGCTGCAAAAGGCAAAAACTTGATTGGCGGGGGGGGAATATATCAACAAAGTTTACATTACAGAAATGTGTTTTAACCAGAGAAAAGTAGCCCTACTGCATAATGGTAACACAATTCCATTTCCCACAGCAACCAATCATGTGACTTCTATGAACGAAACAGTCAATCAATTACAAATTTGGACTATCTTACATCTATCCCTAACCCTAAGGTGACCCACACCCAGTAGTGATTAAAACCTAGATCCCAAAGAGGAAACAATATTGTGTCAACCATTAAGCCATACAGTTTTCCAAGGACTATATCCTCTCTGATTTTTCTGTAGTTAACCTGGATTCAGTTCTATAATTGTTGAAATGAAGAAAATAATTCAAAAAGCAAATAAACAAGTACAGAAGACTGGAATTGATTAAACTTTGGAGAAAACTTTTTTTTACATTCACTCAAGCAGGTTCACATTAGATTTATTTACGATGATAGAAGAAAAGGGTAATAAAGAATATATTCTAGACTGAGATAGATAAGATTTCTTATTGCAAAAGGGATTAAGGGAAGGCAGGGTCAGGTTATTAGCTGGAGTAGATTAGAAGATCAGCCACGATTGAATGGCGGGGCAGGCTCGAAGGGCCGAATGGCTTACTCCTGCTCCTACACGATATGTAATGCACTATTTAAGAGATAGAGATAGAGAATCCCCCCAAATGATTTCCAAACATAGAAAATGTTGGCATTGTCTTCATCCTTGGTACAAGGGTAAATAGAAACTTCAGCAAACTATTGCAGTTTCAGTTACTCTCAGCTCATCCCTCTCTCCCTCTCCATCGTCGTCGATAACCCATTTTTCAAACACAAAATGTATGTGTATCCTGTATATATTTCTATTAGCTCACCTTAACTTGCAATAATTTTAACTCGGCTTCCAACCTTCTTCTTTCTTCCACCTCTTTATGGTATTTTTCTTGCAGTTTCTCCAGTTTTGAATCTGGAAGAGATCATTTCAAGGCCAAAAATAATTAAACTACTTGTTTATTTTGTAAAATGAAATGTTACATAAAAGTTTTAAGTGATTTTGCGAGATGAAGAGTTTGCTTAAACTGCAGTATACCTTCCCAATATACACTATATTTTTACAAAACATTTTGTATCTTTTCAGATATTATAGTTCCAGAAATTATTCACTGATGTGAAACCTTGTTTATAAACTCCACAACAGTCTCTGTAATAATAGTGAATAGTGACTTTTCTGAGCAATATTTTATTTTTGGCTTCGCTAGGGATACCTGGTAGGTTATTTCACTACAAGGGCATCAAAATGGATTTTAATTCTCTTCTCACCCGACATAATACTTGCACTTTACACATATATACCTGCTAACAGGTGTCTCTAGGTAGTCTTTCATGTAGTAAATATGCCTTTTAAAAATATAAAATATCTCATTCATATATAAATTAATTTAAAAAATACTTATTAATAATTGGTAGGAAATTGATTTTATATTTGTGAGAAATTCTATTTGTCACTAAATGTAGTGACTTTGATAATACACGGTTATAATGGAAATGTATTTAGCATCAAAAAGAATTTTGGTTATATAAAGGTGCTATATAAATGTTAGTTCACTGGGAAGGATATTTGCAAAAGAGGAAAGAGAAGATTGACATATGCCAATAAGGGTCAAAAAAATTAAAGAGATTTGCATTTGCAGCATTCAAGTCATACTTTGACGTCTCTAAAATCACACTCCTGCACATAAGCACACGGCAGTTGACCGCCAACAAGTGGTGCAGTATGATTCAGCGATATACCTTTATTGGTAAAAGTAATTGCATTGATGTTGGTGAATTGAATAGTTTTAGTTTTCCTTAACATTTAAACTTTCGAAGCATTAAATCTAACCATGTTTACCATCAGCATTTTGACTTGGGGTGACAGATCTAGAAAAGGTTCTTTGTGGTGATTTATTCTGCACATCTTCTGACTTGATGCTCTGCTGGCATCGCTCAAGTTCATTTTTGTATCTATCAAGAAAACAAATGATAATGGGTTAGAATTTCCATAAACTATTCTTTTGCAACAATGATCCAGTTGGTTTATAATTTGCAGTCATGAATATGCTTTATATTTGACTGCTTGTCAGACATCAAGTCCTGGATGAGAGCCAACTTTCTACAGTTGAACTTCAGCAAGACCGAGGCTTTCCTGATTGTCTCACTCTCGCGCATCCGCATCTCAGGCACTGGCAGCGTCAGCATTCACAGATGCACACTCCACCTCACCAGTCAGGAACCTGTTCAACCCACAACTATCTTTTCTTCCTCACATCCGTGCCATGTCTTGCTCTGCCTTACCCCACCTCCAAAACATTGCCCAACTCCACCACTGCCTCACACCTCAGACTGCTGAAACCCTCATACGTGCCTTCATTACAACCAGGCTCAACTATGCCAACTCCCTGCTCGTTAGCCTTCCCAACTTTTCCCTCCACAAGCTGCAGATCATCCAGAACACTGCAGCTTGTGTCCTCTCCCACACCAGGCTCCATGACCCCATCACCCCCACCCTCGCCCGGTACTGGCTCCCTCAGAGGATCAAGTTCAAAATCCTCGTCCTCACCTTCAAGTCCTCTTTGACCGTGCCTTCAGCTCCCCTCTCGACTCTCTTCCTCCTCCTCGTTCCCTCCCCTCACCCTGACCATTTCCCCCCTCCTCTCTCCCTCCCTTCCCTCCCCTCACCCTGACCATTTCCCCCCTGCTCGGGTCATGACCCAACTGTGCAGCGCCTTGGGACGTCCTCCTGACGTGAAAGGCGCTCTATAAATGGAATCTTGTTGTTGTTGTTGTTGTTGTTGTCCCTCCATGGCCGACCTGCTGAAACCCTTATCAACTTGCCCGCTCCCACCGTTCAGCAGGCTCCGGCCTGCTCCATGTCCACCGCCTGGTCTGCCCCACCATCGGCGGTTGGGTCGTCAGCCTCTCTGCCCCACCCTCTGGAACTCCATCCCACATTCCTCGCGACCTCCTTCAGGACACACCTCAAGTCCCTCCTATCTGCCCGTGCCTTTGGCCGGTCTCTCCTCCCTCCACCCTCCCTGATCCCAACCGCTTCCCCCCACAGCGCTCGGGTCCTAATCCCTGACTGTTCAACGCCTTGGGATGTCCTCCCGACGTGAAAGGCGCTTTACAAATGTAATTTTGTATTGTATTTGGGGATTATTTAACTTTTATATTTTATGCTAAAATGCATTTCTCTGACTGAGGCTACAGTGTCACTTTTCATGGTTAAGTTGAAAAAAAGGTAAAATAAACATTGATATTACCCGTCATGAAGTTAAAAAGGTTAAAAGAAACGGCAACACCAAGCATACAACAGATTTTACCCAGAGGGTAATTAACAATAACAGATTACTAGAAAGAGTGGTCAAAGACAGAATACTGCACTCATTGACACAATGGGAGGATGGTACGGTGGGTATTTTCGAAGGATGAGATCAAATAGTTACAGCACATTTTGTTGAGGTTCATATCATACGTAAACCCACATTACAGTGAAGCGTATTCTAATGGGGTTCTACTGTGTTTTTTAAAGGATATCAGAATGCTTATGTTGTGTCCTACACTTAAGGATACCAATGCGTTAACTCTACCACTGCAGTTAAATTAAAGTAACCGCAACTATTTTTCAAATTTAATATTTCTCTGCGATAACTTTATCTACGAGTTTTCTTTTCATCTCTGCGATAATTATTGGGATCTCATTAAGTATAGCTGCTGTAAATAAAATAATAATAATAGTACAATAGGTGATTCTTCTGAGGTTAGGCTACCGTTTTAAGATAGGATAGAGGCAACTTAATAATAATACCTTTTACTGTATCATGGCTGAATGTTTAAAAGTAATGCGATTTCAAACAGCATCCCCTGGTGGACCAAAGCACAGTTGTAGCACCATTGTTTTGTAAAGATTAAAAAAAAACTAAAGTTAATTCTACGCAGCACTCTATAACCAATAAAATTTCAAACCTAGCGCGAAGAAATTCTCATTTCAAAAAAATGACTGCAATACAATGCATCAATTAAGAACTTCATTAAAAAAAACGACAAATCATCTTGTGGTTTTCATCGACAGCCAAACAATTAATTTTAGCCTGACCTGCCACTGAAGTAGCATTAAAGTAGCAATTGCATCATCTAATACCATGTTTTAGTACACACTCATCAGGCTGGAAATAATGCCATCAAGATATCCTTGCAAGTTCCATCAGGCAGGAACAAACCACTGATGGATCCAATCTTCAAAATAATTTTTTCAATGCAAACACAGAATGAATTACACAGAATGAATGTTACAGCGTGGAAGCGGGCAAACTCGGCTGTGCCTGTGCTTATAATCCACCAGAGTCGCCACTCCTGCCAATCCTGAAAATAACAACCACAACAAAATTACATCTGACGTCGGGACGTCCCAAGGCACTGGACAGTTACAGACTCGAGCTGGGGGTCGGGGTGGGGGAGGGCAGGGGGGGGAAAGCAGGGAAAAACATTGACAGGGGGAAAAAAACAGTTAATTTATCTGTCGCTTTTTTCAATATATGGTTTAAAAATAGTTCTTACAAAATTTAAATGCTGACTACCTGTCAGTTTAGAGAGTTAGTCTTATTCATTTTGAAATAACATATTTCAAAGTTAATTACAAATTAATTCAAAGTTGGTAAAGTTAATTACCTCTTGTTTTCTTGCTCAAGACTTTCAATATGTTTTTTGCTGGATGCAAGTTGGCCCTCTAGGTAATTAACCTGCGATTCCTTCACCTGCAGTTCATGGGAAATTCGCTGCTTGGTTTTCTCAAGGTTTTCACACGATTCTATTAGACTTTGATGCTCTCGCTTTAGAGTACATGCTTCATTCTTCTCATGTTCCACCTGCATCCCAAAGGAGAATAAATCAGTTTAAAAATCATGAAGATACATCTTCCACCACTCTAGGCATATATTTAAAAATGAGAACAGTTCACCTTGTGATAACCATATTGAAAAGAGCATACTCGGGGATAAGAAATGTTAATGCTGATTATGTTACTCATGTCCTGTCAATTCATTCATAAGAACATAAATATCAAAACACACCTTCTCCTTCTAGTGTTAATGAATGTCAGAAAAATAAAATTAAAGCTAATCAAGCTTGTAAAACATAAACATCATGTTGACTTTTTTTTAAAAAGAGCAAAAGGGCCGATTTATCGTGCAGAAGTTGGGAGAGGCGGAGGCATAGTGACCTCCATTACAGAACATGTTTAATTTTGAGTTTTTTCATAATGCATTTGATGAAATCACATTGAATACATAAACAAATTTCACTCGACTAGACTCCACCGTTGATTTATTGGTTTGTTTGTTTGATGATCAGCCGGGTGTCTGACATGCGGAAACCCATAACCACGCTTAATAGTATCCAAACCAAACAGAGTTCCACGCATCCCACCAAAACATGGATATTCCCAGATATTTGGTGGAATCGAATGTCCCTGGAGGGACATATGCTGCTTAGCTATTTCCTGAAAGTATTACACAAGTTGGCAAAAGTCCAGGCTTGGGGACCTCGGAGTGTGCGTTGGGTACCGCTGGAGTCTAATCAGCTAAAACCGCATAGCTTGCCATTGAGATAGCTTCCCCAGCTCGGACCACCCTACCTGTGAGGACTCTGGCCTGCAGGGATGTTGGGAGCTAAGTGGGAAGAGTCCCTGCCCCCAGTGACTCGGTTGCCTTTCCAAGTCCTGTCGATCAGCAGTGCCCTGGAGTCCAACAGAATTACTGGGCTTCGGCACTGGACAACTGACATCCCGTTGTCAAGCACGTCACCAGTTCAACTTCAAGGAGATCCCTCTTGCCTTCCCCCACCCCTATTTTTCCTACATCGTATAATTAAGTCAATTACAGATTAGTTTTGAAGGTATTGGAAGAAGAATACTGCCTCCCACATGTTTAATCCTAAAGAAGAACATGATAGAACCAAAGTAGCAGGAATGAACGATACACATCTAACAAGCAAGTGATGTTTCCAGAAGAATGAACAACAAGCACCTTATGTTTCTGCTTCAGCAATGCAGCTTCCACTGATTCCAGTTGAAACTGTCGCTGCTGCCGTTCCTTTTTAAGCTTATCCAACTGACTCTCAATCTCCTGTATCTTCTGGAGTGTTCTTGTAGGTAACCCCTCCTTCCATTCTTCCACAGCCCAACTCATTCTGACCAATATTCAAATGTTTACCTCATCACCAATCCCTAGGAAATGTTTATTTAAAAATTTTATTCATTTATAGAAATCCAACACACATTTTATATTATTAAAAGACAAGTATAGCACATTTTATCTACAAAACATAAAAATGCAGCTAATATTACATTATATGCTCGCTCCAATTTAAAATCAGTAAAGCCACTAGACTGGTCTTCTGAAATCAGCTGAATTTTGGACTTAAATTCACTGACGGACACGTTACACACGGTCCTACCCTCCGCTCCTCCTGATGCCAAACGCCAGCTCAGGTGCGGATCCTCGACTGTCCAGCACCTTGGACTGTCCTCCCAAAGTGAAAGGTGCTATACAAATGTAATCTGTTGTTGTTTTTGCACCTTTTTTGTCTTCCTAAAAGTAGTGAAAACTCAAATAATCTATTGGTGCAAAGATTTTCACTTACACACTGGATAACAATCAAGACCAGGAACCCAATTTAGCTACAACAACATTTGCCTTTTTAATGAAATACCAATCCATTAAAAAAAACGTTTTGACCCCTCTTCAGCTTTTGAAGAAGTCATACAAATAGGTTACTGTCAGTGAGCTGCTCATCTGTGGAGTCACTGTGACAAGCTCAATCCTGTCCTCACACGCACACCTACAACAAATTCACATTGCCAACCAGGGCAAATTTTTTCTCCTCCCTAGCCCAGGGGCACTGAAGCTAAATGGAGCAAACAAACACCACCTTTCCTGAAAATGGTTAAGGGCACAAACCACAAAACCAAACCAGGAACATTCCAAGATTTTTTCTACTCTGGACGGTGTATCTGTCTATTAATCATGTCTATGGGGAGGGGGGTGGGGGGGAGTGGGCTGTCACATCGTCTTAAATACAATAAAATTACCACTCATCAAGAATGAAGAAGTTTAACAAAATTTTGTGTAAAGGACAGACCTATTGTTGACCTCGGCAAAAGATAGTTCACGGACAATTATTTCCTACAAGACGCATGTTCTTACTAAGAACATACAGTGAGTAGTAAGATCATGAACTAGAGATTGAACGTGTGGGGAGAATTGTTTTGCTGAAGTTCTCTCATATTTTAGTGTGTCAGCTTGGCTGTTGGTAGGATTCAAACTTCTGCGATTGAAAGCCCCACATCAAGATATGAGCTCACACTCTTGTGCAGTACAACAACTTGTACTTACATAACACTTTTCACATAGGATGAACATTTCAGAGCACTTTGCGAATTCCCTGACAATCCAGCACTCTCCCTGTACTATTACACACTCCCTTGGTGAGACATTAAACTGCAATTCAGCCTGCAGGAGGACACTATTGAAAGGGAAGGGAGTTCCTCATGATATCCTGGCCAACAATCTTCCAGATCTTCTATATACGAGGAAGAAGGGAATAGACGGATTTGAGAGAAGATTAAGAGGGGAGGAGGCTCACATGGAGTACAAAAACAGTGTAAACCTGTTCGGCCAAATGACCTGCTTTATGTTCTGTATAGTACTTTAATTAATTCTATGTCATTTGTTCACTCACTTCATGAATGTTTGTGGGACCTTGCTTGTGCAAATTGGCTGCCAAATTAAATAGCTTAGAAGTAAACAGCATCAGAAGGATGGCACCTTCAACAATATAGGAGTGTCACGCAGCACAGTTCAGGTGGAATCTTGGAATTCACAAAGTGCCTACAAAAATATAGTTACTATGAGAAACCAAAGGCAAAATACTGCCGATGCTGAAAATCTGAAATAAAAGCAGAAGTTGGTGGGAACACGCCGCAGGTCAGGCAGGTTCTGGGGGCTTCCAGGTGAGACAGCGATTTACATGTACTTCCACCAACTGTATTCGCTGGTCACGATATAGTCTTCTCTGCATCAGGGAGACCAAACGTAGATTGGGTGATCACTTTGCCGACCTCCATTCCATCCACAAGTGCGACCCTGAGCTTCCGATCGCTTCCCATTTTAATTCTCCTTCCCACTCCCACCTCTCCGTCCATGGTCTCCTATGCTGTTCGAACGAAGCACAGGGCCAGCTCGCAGAACAGTTTCTGGCTGCTTGTGGGACCTGCACAACTTTGCACATGGCAATGTCCCACAAACAACCAGGAGGTAAAGGTAAAGGGATGGGGTGAAATGTGGGATGTGAAATGTACTGGCTCCGGCCTCCTCCTTGTCCCTCGAATCCTCCGCTGCACCATCGGTGGCCGTGCCTTCAGCCACTCGCCCTGAAGTTGTGGAACTCCCTCCCTCGATCCTTTCGCCTTGTCCACTCTTTCCCCATTTCCTCTTCGACTGCCTACGGTCACCCTCCCACTCCCCTTCCCCCTGGCTCGGCCACCATTAGCCCAGCGCGGATAATAAACACCGCCCAGCGCCGATAATAAACACCGCCCAGCGCGGATAATAAACACCGCCCAGCGCCGATAATAAACACCGCCCAGCGCGGATAATAAACACCGCCCAGCGTGGATAATAAACACCGCCCAGCGCGGATAATAAACACCGCCCAGCGCGGATAATAAACACCGCCCAGCGCCGATAATAAACACCGCCCAGCGCGGAGGGCACTGTATAAATGCAAGTTGTTGTTGTTGAAGGAGGAAGGGAAGTGACGAGGCGGAGGCACCGTCGGATGCTTCTCCTCGAATACTTTAAAATTGCCCATTGCTTTATTATTAATTATAGCTCATTCTCTAACAATTATTTTCGCCACAAAATACACAGTCAGTTCAGTTCAGGGCAGGTTCTGTGAAGCGCTTTGAGACGCCCCAAAGACGTGCTAAGGCGCTCCATCAAAGGCCAGGATTATTATTTATTTATTATTATTAACTAATCATCAGTTAATAACAAATAATCATTTATTAATTTATTTCAATTGACAGTTGAAATGCTCGTGTCCGGGTTGTGCACATGGCTTTAGCGGCCCTACAGGTCCCCCCACACCCCTCTCTCTGATATTATTATTATAACCCCAGAAACCTACATCGCAATGAACTCTGGGGGTGAGGGGGTGTGGGTATGAGGGGGGGTGGGGGGTGAGGGGGGTTAGGAGGTGTAACGGGTAAGGGGTGTGAGGGGGTAATAAGTCGGGAGGACGTCCCAAAGCGCTTCACAGAACACACTGTAAAGTGAATTGACTGTATATTTGTGGGCGAACGCGGCAGCCAATGGCGCACAGCAATGTCCCACAAACAGTCGTAGATTGAAAATGACCAATTTATTATTGTTTTTGGTTTTGGGGGATTATTATTAGGCTCTGTGTGGAGTAAGGAAACTTGCCCAAGGTTTCGCCCTGTGCCTGGAATTGAACTCAGGTCTCTCACTTGCAAAGCGAGTGCTCTAACCACTGAGCTACAGGACTCCACGGGTAGCGGGTGAGGGGCTAAGGGTGTAGGGGGTGAGGGGGTGTAGGGGGTGAGGGGTGTGGGGGCTGTGAGGGGGTAGCGGGTGAGGGGGTAGCGGGTGAGGGGGTAGCGGGTGAGGGGGTAGCGGGTGAGGCGGGGCCCTACCTGAGGTACAACAGCCGCCTCCTCCCGCTCCTTATGTTTAAACGCTCCGCCGTTGGGTGACGGACTCACGGGTTTGCGCGCGCAGCAAAAAAACCGTTAGTAGCACAAACGGCCCCGTTGGGGGGGGGGAAGGGGCGGGCGAACCTTGAAGGCTAGAATCTGATTGGATAACACGCTCGGGGAGGCGAGACTCCGATTGGATGACGCTGCGAACGTTCTGATTGGTCTGTTTGGATTCCTTCCGACCTATCCGGTCGTTCCGCTGCCGCCCGCCCGCCGACACGACACGAGCCGGCCCTGCCTCCTGATTGGCCCGATTCAAATCCCGCAGACGTTCTGATTGATGGGGCGCGGCCGTTGGTGGCCTTGAGTTGTTGTTGTTGTTGTTGGTGCCTGACACGTCCATCACCATGTGTTGTTCATCATCATCATCCTCCTCCTCCTCCTCATCATCACCACCCTGGCGTGAGCCCCCGGGCGCCTCGTCGCGTCATCGAGACGTCTCGAAGCGCTTCTTCTCCGCGGGACGTGCTGCCGAGTGTAGTGACTGTGCGTTTTGCAGGGGAGGAACGCGGCCGCCGGTGGCGCCCAGCGACGTCCCCGCACACAGCCGCGGGTCGAGGTGAGCCGCGTGTCGTCGTCGTCGTTGTTATTGTTAATATTTTTGAGAAATGATTGTTATTCCCCCCAGAAAGCCGTCCAACAACAACCGGGTCCCCAACGTGACTGCCGGGAAAACAGAGGCGAGTGGGGCAATGGGGAGTTGGCCGACGTTTTGCCCGACCGGGGGATCGAACCCAGGTCCCTCTCGCTTGCCAGGCGAGCGCTCTAACCACTGGACTCCCATCCACATCGCTGTGCCGAGCCAGGCCATGCGCCAACAAATGCACAGTCACTCCGTGCTCCACCGCGGACATCCCGCCAAACACTCATCCCGTTGAGTGACGACCGGTCCTGGGACCCGTCATGATGGTGTCACGGTTTTGAGGGTGAAAGATCGAGTTGTCGTGTCTAAAAATAATAATAATAATATTAATAATAATAATCCTTGCATTTGATACAGCGCTTTTCACATCTTCGAGACGTCCCAAAGCGCTTCACAGAATACGCTGTAAAGTGAATTGACTGTATATTTGTGGGCGAACGCGGCGGCCAATTGCGCACAGCAATGTCCCACAAACAGTCGTGGGTTGAAAATGACCAATTTATTATTGTTTTGGTTTTGGAGGATTATTATTAGGCTCTGTGTGGAGTAAGGAAACTCGCCCAAGGTTTCGCCCTCTGCCTGGAATTGAACCCACGTGTCTCGCCGTTATAATATTCTCCTAAGGGAAGAGGTAAGAAATTGGCTTTGGGAAGATAGCTCGACAGTAATCGATCAGCTTTTCTGGCTCATCAATACGAATTTGCACATACAGGTATCCTCACACCCTAAGCCAAAGTCCTGGTGGATAGGATGACTCTAACTGGACAAATTCTGTGAAATGTACTGGTAAATGGCAGAATGACCATTGGGTTTTGTGCCTTCGGTTATACGTCTATTTGTTTGATCAAAACTCCAGAGTGATAGTAATATTTGTACAATTTCTTTGCTTGAGTAAACAGTTATAGATTTTCTTTTAAAGGGACCTGTCTGCCTGATGTGAGAGGCGCTATATCAATGCAATTTGTTGTTGTTTGTTATTGTTCACATCTCCAAAACATTTTACACCTTTATATAGGTTCTGCAGTATTTAAAGTAACCACCAGGTCTGCCCTTGTCCATCCAGGTCTGTTCATTGAGCACCAGCTTCCATCTCAAACAGGACCTCAGCCCTCTTTTTCTGATTTGTAACAGGTAACCTGGTTCCTGATTTTGAAGCAGATGAATTACCATTTCCGTTTCGCCCACAAGTGTACAGTCAATTCACTTTACAGTATATTCTGTGAAGCGCTTTGAGGCGTCTAGAAGATGTGAAAGTGCTATATCAAATGCAAGGATTATTTTTATTTTTATTAATTAGTTCGCTTAAAGCATTTGAAAAGTAATTCCACCCATAAGTGCTTATAAGCTTTAAATTGCAAGGAATATGATTCATAGACCTATAGCCACAAGGGACACCTTGGAGTGGCAAAAGGCTTAAATAAAATAAACAACAGTACTGCAGTATGTCCTCCTCAGCCACACCGAGCTTCCTTCTGTCTCATTCTCTGTTTTCTCTCCTTGGTCGATATGTTTCCTTAATTTGGGAGTAGTATTATTGTCGCTCCTCAAGACTGTGACAATTATTTGCAGTGTTGACAAAATAATAACTACCTTAAAATTGCATTATGTAATTGTTTTTAACTGTGTGAAACAGTAGCAATTATTTTGTTAACAGTTGCACTTGAAAACATTATGTTGTATGTCAACAATTCAAAATAAATGGTGTGAAATTTGCAACCAAGTTTGAAATATTATGTATGGAATGTAATGCAAATGAAAACTGTGTAAAAGAATACAGACAATGCAGAGAGATGGTGGAAGGGCACTGCGTGAGCATATGCAAGAGAGTTGGACACATTTTGGCAAATGGAAGCAGTGCTAAAATTATTTTATTGAAGAGATGGTTTATTATTACTGCAAATTACTGTTGCACAATGCACTCAAGTTGTAATAATAATAATAATCCTTGCATTTGATATAGCCCTTTTCACGTCGGGAGGACGTCCCAAAGCGCTTCACAGAACACACTGTAAAGTGAATTGACTGTATATTTGTGGGCGAACGCGGCAGCCAATTGCGCACAGCAATGTCCCACAAACAGTCGTAGATTGAAAATGACCAGTTTTATTATTGTTTTTGGTTTTGGAGGGATTATCATTAGGCTCTGTGTGGAGTAAGGAAACTTGCCCAAAGTTTCGCCCTCTGCCTGGAATTGAACTCAGGTCTCTCACTTGCAAAGCGAGTGCTCTAACCACTGAGCTACAGGACTCCACCTGTAAGTGAATTATTCAGTACTTTAGCAATTTATGAGGGAATTAAGAATCCATATGTTGATAAAATTCAGGTTACAGAATAAAACAAATTACAGTACTACATTATTAAACTAATAGATTTTTTTGTTACTGTACATCAGAAAAGGGAATAAAAACATTGAATTGTATAACTAATTTATTTTTGAAAATATCAAAATTAAATCGTGATTATACGCGTAAAAGAATGACAAGTTAGAAGAGTAGCAACTGATTCATTCATTTTAGAGTGCATTAATCAAATTGACCACGCACAGAACATTCATATCTACAGGACTACCCTGACGTAACTCCGTACAAATGAAAAAAGTAGCAGATGTGTATTGTATTTCCATTAACTCTGCAGAATACTCATTTGTATGGGCACTTGTGTCTATTTCAATGAAAGTAAACAAACAAAAATGTTAATTGTGTTTACAAAACAATCTCTTGAGCAAAACAAATGTGTGGTTTGCGGAAAATAGTTACATTTTAACGATCAAAGAAAACTACAATTTAGGTAATAGTATCGTAAATGTATTTGTTAGTTCCCTGGCTCCCACTTCCCCGACAGATTGATTTCAAAATCTTTGTACTAACCTTCAAAATCAAGAACAAACACCACTGTGATTTTGGGGGTGTATAGTCTACTGCTGACAATCAACAAAATGTTGTTGAGTTAACTACAGTAATGTGTTATCTACGTCTGCCAGACATTGGTCAATGGGACACAAAGTGGAGTTTAGGACAAATCATTAATTTGAAGCACATTTGTGCACAGCATTCAAGATCAATTAGTTCCCCCTTTTTTGGTAAATAAACTAGTGTAGTGTTGTTCATCTAACTAAACACAAATTGGTTATAAACTACATATTTAAAGTGCAGGAATACTGATATCAGCACTCAGGGTGCCATAATTGTCTTTAGTATCTAGGTTAGGAAAGGGAAAAACCTTGGGCCTTGGCCTTTCACCTATGTGCTTGAAAAACTAATTATCATCCTCCAGTCAATGTTTGATCTGTGTTTGCAAATCCTGTAACCTTGGAAAAAAGACATTTACCGCTCCCTGCCCTTTGGGACGTTCCCCCAATGTGAAAAGCGCTATATATGTAACAGGGGGAAAAGTCTTTAAAAGGCTAATTTAAAGCTTTGGTGGCTCCATGAGTAAATGTACTGTACTGTCCTGCTGCAAGACTTAGACGTCCAGACCAGGATACATGTTTGAATTCAAATCTGGATTATGGAGGGGAAAATCGAGACTCCCACTCCTGATCCCTTGTGAAACACTCTTGTTGGAAGAAATATGGATATTGGGTGAGAACAGGATCAGCCTGATTAATTCCTTTTTCAAATAAATCATGATCTCTGCTTCAACAATGGCCACTTGGGTATCCCATCATCCTTAGATCCATAGAAATAAAAATGAGTTAGATTCATTAAGGAGTGGAGGAAATAGAGAATATTATCAGAAAATTAATCCAGCCAAACCCATATTGAGATCCATGCAAAATATTTTATTTTGGTTGGCAATAATAAAATGTTCATTGATACTACATTCCAGCAATGAATAATAATCCTCACCTTTGATATAGTTCTTATAATGTAAACGTTTAACAATACTTAATGTTAAATAGAATGACTTTTGCAGGCATTATGCGATGGGCATTTTATTCAAAGCAAAATCCCATAACAGCCATGAGGTAAATGACCAATTAAGATCAAGAGATTTTTTGGCCAGGGGACTGGAGAAATTCCCTCTCTTTGACACCTCAACAGACAGACAGGACCTCGATTGAACATGTCATCTGAAGGTCAAGTAATGACATGGGGCTTCAACCCTCAACCTTCTGACACAGAAACCACAGTGCTACCAACTGAACTAAGCTCATATCAAATTACTTATCCAAGGGTTCTCCCCTTTTCTTCCTATTTGTTCAACATCTGCACTTGCCATTGCAAAGCATTCCAAGATATTATTTTACAGGAATGGTCATCATCATAGTTTGTTGTTCCAAAACTGCATTATTTCGGTCTTGCTTGTCGGCTTTCGGCTTGTTGTCAGATTTGGTCTCTCGAGTGGTACCATATAAATACATTTTTCTAAAATTTCGGTTTAACAACAACTTGCATTTATATTGTACCATTCATATATGAGTGGTAAATGCAAGTTGTTGATTGATAAAAATAAAAACTAATTATTGCAGGTTTGGGCCTCAGAAGGTCTGCATTTTTTGTAAATGAACTGTGAACTGTCTGAAATACTACGCTTCAGAAATGTATTAGCCCAGTTCATTCTTGCCCCTGATTCAGAAAGAGGTTCCTAGTTTAAAGCCCTTTGAGATATTCTGATGTGAAAGGTACTATGTAAATGTGTTGTAGATTCAAGACCCATATCAGGACTTTGAATTCTCACTCTTGTGTTAGTGGAGTCAGAGATGCCGTCCTTCGGATGAGATGTTAAACTGAACTTATTCCTTTATAAGTGGATTTTAAAGATCCTGTGGCACTCTTCAAAAACAAAGGAATGTTTCTTCTTGTATTGTAGCTAACAATCCTGTAGATTAAAAACAGTTTATTGGCTTCACAGCTGTTTGTGGGACATTGCTATGTGGAACTTGGTTGCTGTGTTTACTTACAAATATACAACAACTTGCACGATAAACCACCTTTCACGTGAGGTAGCACATTGGAGCACTTGTTATGACATAAGAACATAAGAAGTGCGAGACGAATAAAGAACAAAGTCCATCTAGTTCGCCTTCACATAGTTACTATACTTTACAGAAAACTTTGTGACTTAATAAGGCGCTCTGTCAAATGGAAGGATTATTATTATAACAACTTCACCCCCACCTGGTGTCATGTGTGAGACTGCAGAGCAAGTTATGCTAATGTTATGCTCTCAACGCTCAGCGGGCTCCGGCCTGCTTCACGTCCCCCGCCTCGCCCGCCCCAAGATTGGTGGGGAGGACATTCCGCTACTCTTCCCCCACCCTCTGGAACTCCATCCCGCAGTCCCTCCACCTCGCCCCCTCCCTTCCCTCCTTCAAGATCCTTCTCAAGACCGTGCTTTCGATCACCCTGCTTTCTCCCCCCTGCCCTCCACCCTCCCCAATACCAGTTTGCATCTGAAACACTGACTGTCCAGCACCTTGGGATGTCCTCCCAACATGAAAGGCGCTACACAAATGTAATTTTGTTGTTGTTGTCAAGTGGCTTGTCATTGGTGAACAGCACATCATCATAGCACAGTGATACAATTTAAAGACGATAGCATTGTCAAAAAAAAACTAATTAAAGATTATCGAGTGTGGGGTGGGGGGGGGAAATAATTCCATTTACTAAAACAAGCAATTCAAAATAATTGATCCATGAAGAACAAATGTTATTAACAAAGTGAGAGACGGTGATTATTATTTGGCTTTTTTCAATGCTGATAAGTGCCGGTACAAGAGTTGTAACTGTTTGAATCCCGAGAGCAGAGGACAGCTCTTGCATCCCACAACAAAAAAAAATTTAGTCACTCACTCCATGACTGTTTGTGGGGCACTGCTGTGCACAATTGACTGCCACGTTCCACCCTCAAGACGCACACAGTCAACCCACTTTACAATATATTTCTATGTTTTCATATATTTATTAATATGCATACAGAAATATTTTAATATATTTTAATATATTTTGTGGGCGAGTCAATTTCACTTCAAGGTGTATTCTGTGAAGCGCTTTGAGGTATTGCAAACATATGACAATAATAATAATCCTCGCATTTGATATAGCGCTTTTCACGTCTTGTAGACGTCTCAAAGCGCTTCACAGAATATGCTGTAAAGTGAATTTGACTGTACATTTGTGGGTGAAACGCGGCAGCCAATTGCGCACAGCAGCGTCCCCACAAACAGTCGTGGGTTGAAAATGACCAATTTATTATTGTCTTTGTTTTTTTGGAGGTGCCATATCAAATGCAAGAATTATTATTATTGTTATAATTATTATTATTATGATTATAGTAATAGCTCATTCCCATGGAATAGGAATAGCCCAGTGAGATATGGTAAAGGATGGCTAAGGAGAAGGATTTATCAGAGGATTGCAAGGATTATTTCTTGTTGTTACTGAGCTCAGGCTGGAGGGGTGGGGGGGGGGGGGGCAGTGCAGGGGGGGCAGTGCGGTGCGGGGGGGGGGGGGGGCAGTGCGGTGGGGGGGGCAATGCAGTGCAGGGGGGGGCAGTGCGGGGGGGGGGCAGTGCGGGGGGGGGGGGGGCAGTGCGGGGGGGGGGCAGTGCAGTGGGGGCAGTGCAGTGCGGGGGGGGGGGGGGCAGTGCAGCTGTGTCTGGCCGCCCGGTGGGCGGGTTTTCGCTGTGTGACCATTAAGAAGTAACGACATCTCAGCCCTTCATCAGCTCCACATTCCGCACATTCCACATTTCTGATGTCACGAGGGGACGGATCAGTTTTTTTTCTCCTGAAACCCACAAACCCACAAACCCGGACCGACCGACCCTGTGATTCCACGGAAAGTTAAGTCGGAGCTGTAGAGAAGGGGGTGTGGGGGGGAGAGAGGGGAACAGTTGGTGATCAGCAGCGCAAAGCCCTTTACTTTAACAACAACAACAACAACGACGACGACGAGGGGTCGAACAGTGATTGGGGTCGTGTGGGATCGCTCGGACCTGTCCCCGCACCGGGGACCCGGGCATCAAAACTCTCAAAAATAGGGGGAAAAGAAAAGTTTCTCTCTCTGTGTGTCTCAGTCTCTCTCTCTCTCTCTCTCTCTGTCTCTGCGCTCAACAAAAGTAATCGTTGAGCAGTGATTCGGGGCTTTTGGTTGTAATTCGAAACACAGTGATCCCGAGAGCTTTATTGCTGTTGGTGGGGGTTTCCCTCTCCCTCTCCCCCTCTCCCCCCCTCTCCCCCACCGCCACTTTGTCCTTCTTCCTCAAAACAAGTCTCATCACAGAGTGGATGTTATTGTTGTCTCTGCGCTGCACTGGAGGATCCCATCCATTCCCCCTCTCGCTCCCGACTGTGGTGGAACTTTTGTTCTGAGCTCTGGAGAGGAGTCGTCTGGACGCGAAGGGGCGATCGTTGGCTTTTCATGGGAACAGCAACCGACCCCCACGGCACGTAACCAGGTGAGAGCAGAGAGGGGTGTGGGGGTGTGGGGCTGTGTCTCGGAGCCGCGGCTGTTTGGATCGGGGGCGGTGTGTTTTTTGGGGGGTGGAATATGTGAGAATAATCAGATGGGAGAGAGGAAAGGCAACTCGTTACAGTATTGGATCCCAGATTTCTGGGCGCCTCCGAGTGCTTTGAAATGCCAAGTGAGGCGTTGAGATGTGTGTTAAAGCGGAGACTGAGATCCCCATTGCAATCTGCACTCACTCACTCACTCACTCACTCACCCACACACTCACTCACTCTCTTGACCACTTTTCTCCCTCCACCACCCTTTCCCCTCGGTGCTCCCTCCTCCCTTTGGGAAAAAAAATGTTTCCAGACCCAAAATATGCTTCACGTTTATATTGACTTTAGCCGAGTGAGAGCTGCGGCGGAGCAATTCCTACAGCAAAACAATATCCATGTTGGGTTTTGTTCTGCTGTGGTATTTTGAAAGATCTCTCTCTCTCTCTCTCTCTCTCACACACACACACAGTGCTGTGCTGACCTATCTGGTCTCAAGATCCGCAATAATAAATAGAATAAGAATAAGAATGAAGCACTTTGAGAAACACTTATTAGTTTTTCTTAAAAGATAGTTCGAAGCTAAGGAGTTTTTTTTTGCAAAAAAAGAAGGCACTTGCATGTAAAGGTGATGACTCTTTGTGCAGGTCATGGAGGGTGATGAATACTTCATTACAAAGCGTCAAGGCAGGGGTTCACATGATGCTCCCCAAAGCACCAGAGCCAAGCAAGATCCGATTTCTGAGTGTATTCCTATTGGATTGAACTAAATGTCTTCAATTCAACGAAGGGACTAACCGATTTTGATTGCAATTTTTCATTTGAGTTTTCTAGCATTGCAGATCACACTCGTGGCTTCACAAATTCCGTTTTGAAAGCAGAAGTCGTGCCTCATGATGTAGAACAAAGGCTATCACTTTACTTGATATAGGGCTTAAAGGTACATTACATCCTGTTTGTGACCTGCAGTTATTTTAATAGTTCACAAACTTAGAAAGTTTAGAATTAAACCTAACTTTATAAATTTCATATTTGGGAATCAAAACGACAGTCTTCCCCATACACTCTACAGTACCAGATTAAGAGTTGCTCCAGTGTAAGGAGCATTGAATTCATTGAGAGTGGTGTGAGCAGTCTGATCAGAATTCCTATTTGTGGCCTGACCCACTTTATGTGGTAACCAAATGTAATGGGCTTGCAATTTGAAACATCTGACTTATGCTTGGGTTCATATTCAGGGGAAATGTGTGATGTAAACACCAGATTAAATTAACTCTTGATTAATGCAGTTACATTTTAAAGGAAGGACTGTTAACTTCAGGAATTTCTGGCTCACAAACAATGGACAATTCAGCAGTATCTATGACAGTGGACTTAGAAATGTATTTTAAGAATTATTTTTGTGCATCTGATCTGATCCCTTGTATAATGAACTAGTATATGTAATGCAAAGTTTCGTGAATTTACAGTTTTACGATCCAAAAATGATCCATCATCTTGTCAGTTTTGCACAGGCTAAATTTTAAACACTCAGTAGATTAAACTACAACGCACAATCCTGAAACGTTATTTGCTATATTTTAGTACTGTGACCCTTGTACTCGAGGTTGACCAAACTAACAATGAAGGAAGCATGTTTTCGTGGCAGATGGATGTGTTGATGACTGTGCATATAGCCATCATATATTTAAAACGTCAGGTTCAAAACCTTTAACTCTGGCAATTACAATGACTCATGTTAGTGAGTACTAATGTTTTGATCACTTTTTTAAAAAAAGGAATATGATTTTAGGATGCAGGATGGTAGGATGGTCCTTTGAGACCAATTCTCACTTGAGGAATTTTGGATCTATAGTTCTAGGCTTTCCATGGTTGTGTATGTCAAGGTTAGATTGATCCATAGAAACAATGAATATAAAACAAACTGGTAAAGTGCAACTGGAAATGTTATTTTTTAATAGTGTTTAGATTTCTGATAATATTCTGCTTTTGTGCTTTAAAAAACAGCAGCACATGTAGATCTGTACTGTAAAAGCAAAGGCACTTAATAGAATGTTAAGAATCTGTGAGCGCAGTCAATCCAATTGAAGTGTTCCTAAGCTTTTTGTGAATTCAGTGCATTCCTCTGAGATACTCGAGCTGTTTGACATCCTCCAAGATTTGGTCAATTCAATATTTTGATCAACTTTTTGGGGGAATGTAATTTTACTTTCTCTGAAAATAATAGCTTATTTTTAAGTGACTGTGTCTGTTGAGTAATTGTACGAGTCAGTGATTAATCTGAATATCCTGTGAAACAACAAACATGATGTGTTCATTATTTTCAGTTAATATATTGTCCCGTTACCATAATCTACACAGGTATTTCATATAATTCTGTATAACTTCATGATCAATTAAATAAAAATGCTAGTTGGAAATCAAGGGAGCTCTTTATTATGCTAAGTTCCTTTTTGACCAGTTTCAAAAGACTCATTTAGGATTAAGATAACAAGTTTGACTGTAATGTCCAAGTAATTTTAAAAAACATTGTGTTTGATTATAGTGGCTTATCACATTGTGGGAAAGTAAATCTTCCTCCCCTCCCTGTTGCTTTTACAAAGAAAAGTTGATTTTTTTCTTACAGTTATCCCAAGTTTGTATTCTCTCCTTATTCAAATGAATTTGCTACACATCCTGTTGTGGAATGTTGTTGCGCGCAAGTTAGTTGTTGCTTTTGCGACATAACAAGGTTCACTGGATTTGTGATTAATTTGTGTAACTCTTTCGGATGTTTGTTTCATGTGAAAGGTGCTATTTAAATATGTTGATCTTGTAGTTGGTTGAAAATGCTACAAGTGTTGCCTACCAATTGCACTTCTGACTTTGAATATCATTCTCTGTTTTGAATCGAAATGGCATCCACTACCATGTGGATTAATAACGTCTGTGCAAATTTGTAAGACAGTAGCAACTATTTGTTAGTAAACTTATTCAGTTAGTGTATTAATTCCAAAATGTGCTTTTATGTGGCTTTTCGACAGTTAGCTTTTGGACAATTTGTATCATGCTCATGTACACAAACAGCTATGCCCTACATTTTTATATGGTTTGGCTCTTCACACCTATTTTTAATTACAATTTCACAACTCAATGGCTTTTGGTAAGGGTAAAATTCAGCATAGCACCATTTGTCTATGAGAAAAATTAAAATTGCCTCTGGTCCAATACATTGGAGAAGCAAGTATTCTTCAGGTGTGAACCCATTCAGTGAGTAACAGTTCAACAATGAGGAGTATCGCAGTTTAATGTGATTCTTTCTAATCCAATGTTCACAGTTGAACTTTCCAGCAGGGATCATGGCCTTTGTTTTTCCTTCCCAGGTATGTTGAGGCCAGTGTAGCACCTCTACTGCTGCCTTGGCCGCGATCAGATTATTGGCATAAAACTAGTGATCGTATTAATCCTGTACGTACAATACACACTGCGTCATTGGGGAAACCTTATTTTNAGTGAATTAAATTTGATTTGGGATTCGGTGGTCAGTTCTGCAGTTAAGATTATAAATAAGCATTGAGTTATATATTTTCAATACCGTACTGTCTGTGGGTTTGTTAGAATACTGATTTATTCACAGAGAGCTGATATGATTTGGATCAGATACTAAATCCATCGAATGTTGTCCAGAGGTTGATTCAGTTAAAATTACAGATGCTCCATGCTGTTACTTGCTTGCACATTAACAAGAACGTGCAAAAGATATTTCATTTTAGCCTTCTAGAAGACCAGACTTATCATCTCCTTATGATAGCATGATAAAGTTTCTTAAATGGGTTCAGTGTCGTGGACTCAAACCCTGTTTGGTTACCCACTGATGGTTTTCCCTTTGAGTAAAGAAATACACCTTTGTAGCTCTCCTAAACTTGCCATTTACAACCCTGAATATGTCACCTCCTTTCCTGCTGGTTTGAAATATCTGAAAGTATTGTTCAAGGTTTACTTTCTCTATTCAATTCAGCATCTTGTATAACTATCTCTAAAAGGTCCCCTCTGGAATATCTTGTTTTGAGTCTGAAGGGTGCAGTCCTATATACTGTATACTGGGAATTAGTCAAATTGCTTTCCTTCGCACTACTGTAGGGCCTGGATGCTCACTTATGTCATGGTGACCGGAATGTACTGCATACAGTACTGCAGGTGCAATGTGACCAGCGTTCTGTACAACTTGAAGGTGAATTCTGGGGCTTTGAATTCAACTATTTGGCAATGTAGTCCAGCATCCTGTTCCCCCTGTTTACCGCTGTTTAAATTGTGTACAGGTAATCTAGAAACATAGAAACATAGAAGCATAGAAACAAGAGTAGGCTATTTAGTCCCTCGAGCCTGTTACGACATTTTATAAGATCATGGCTCATCTGTACATCAAGTCTAGTTACCCGCCCTTGCCCCATATCCCTTAATACCTTGACCTAACAAATATATCTGCATACGTTTAGACAGCATTTTACATTACAGCACTCATTTGCTTCTGGGGCAAACTTGGCGTCTTGAGGCAATGAGTGGTGTGCAAAATGGCCTGTTTTCCCGACTCTGGATCCTGCCTGCGTGACCTGGCTTGGGGTTTAATGATCTGTTTGTGCCGAGTTCTGAAAGAATTCACCGCTCTGGAGGCAACAACTTATTGTTTACTGAGGCTTTCAAAAAAGCCACTTATCAAGGAAAATAAAAGTTTTAGAGCTCTGAAATGTGGTGCTGCCATCTTTTTTCTGCATTTCTGAACACTGAATGGGTGATGTAAAGGGAATATTATTCTTCGGATATCTCTTGCCTTAAATTTCCTCTCCTGAAGGCTGAAATTCCTGCTACTATAGAATTTCACACACAGTGGCAGCCCTTTCATATCTTGTTGAAGGGACCCTGCTTCACGCAGACTATTTAACTATGGAGTCAGCACAGCAAGGCATTGTTAAGAGCA